CTGTCAGAATATATAAATTGTCCATTCTTTCCTAAAAGGCTGTGTATATTCCCCAGGTCCAAGATTTAAATATATTTGTAATTCTCGTGGTTCCATTCTTGTGTTTAGTCACTGCTTATTCCTTCTGAATTTCTCCATGTCTTAAAACACTTTGATTTCAGTGTTTATCAGTCTCTTTCTTGGATGTGGCTGCAGTATTTTCCCAATGCTGACTTGTCGGTTTGGGGTCAGTAAATTGTTTGGAACTCAACTGATCTCTTCCCAACACGATGCCCATTAGTCAGAGCACAGGAACCTTTAGTGAGCACTTGAATTTGTTGTTCTGCTCCTCACAAAGCAATTACTGTCAGGTAAACGAGGAAAGTATCTCTGGGCAGGATAATCTTTCCTTGTCTGAAGGTGTTGCATCTGCACCTAAAGCTTGGCCAAGCGCCCGTTGCTCTGAAGTGCAATTTTAATGTAAGTTAAATGTTTTTGGCTGCTTCTTCAGGTTGTCAAGTGAAGTTTTGTAGAGTATTATGGGGGAGAAAAGAGAATTTCTCGAGAACAAGCAGCAGGTTCTGGCAACCTGTGACTGAGGTGCTGTGGTTTGGCACCTGCTGCAGAGGAAGTTGATGTGAGGCAGAGCTGCTGGGGCTGCACTGAGGGGCCCTTTGTGAGGGAGCTGCATCCCTGGGGAAGGGTCACTCCAACCCTGGAGCTTGCAGCCTGGTTTTGTGCTGCCTGAGGCTTGGCCCCCACAGTGCTGGTGGTATCAGGATTTGAGGATGCCTTTTTTTTTTTTTCATGGGACACAGACTTGAAGGGTGTTGTCACGTATTACATATCACACCTGTTAATGCATGCCACTTATATTAATATATTCGAATGCTTGAGTTGATGAATCAACAACTTCAACTACCTAGCCTTAGTTTTCGGTTCCGTTTGATCCAGTATTTTTAAATTATTCCAGTGGTTTGCTGTCTACTCTTGAACAAAACCATCTGGAGTAGTTTTCCTGCTGTCTGTCGCTCCCTGCAAACCCTCTGTCGGATTCGCTTGTTCAGGGATACATGAACTGTGCCTTCTGTCACTGCACATCCCTCTCTGCTATTCCTAAACATGCCAACCCTGGCACTGGGGCTACGGGCACTGCATTCCTACACTATTTAGAGGAACTGTTTGTTGTGTAAATGCCTGCAGTTATTTATACAATTACAGGGAAGTAATGGATTGTGGGGGATGTTTCTCAAACTCTGATACGACCCGTGTGGAACATCCAAAATCTGGTTGGCACTTCCAGCTGTGTTCCATCCCACCCCTCCTGTCTCGCGGTGCTCATGACGTGTGAGGCACACGGAAGGCATTGCTGTAGTCGGTCACTTCTTGTTTTTTACTCCATTTCTCCTCCTGGTATTAGTTCTGGAGATGCTCCTTTGATCTAATTTGTAAATTACTTTGTATTTTATGCATGTACTGTACTTTGATTCATTATTTTTTTAGATTGATTTAAAATATATTCATCCATGATTCTAATAAAGAATTACAGGGGACGACTCACTGTGGTGTTGGGTGCACTTTTTGGGAGGACTGTCATTTGACATGAAGGTTTTTACTTACTGGAAGCTGATGAGCTTCTTGGAGCAGGCAGTGAGAAGACCCTAAAGTGGAAGTGCCCCTGGAAAAGGACCTGGAAGGGTCGTGTAACACAGCTGTCTTCCCTCAGAGCAGGTCTGCAGCTTTCTGGGGCTGCTGCAGTTCAGAGCCAGGGCAGTTTGGCAGCTCCAGGGAGCTTTTACACTCAGGAATTCTGTGGGTTCACACCAGTCAAACCTCTGAATAGCTTTTACAGTCCTGGGGGTTTTTTTCCCACGTTGCCATGAGAAAGAAAATCCTGTGGGATACAGACTGCTCCTTCTGCAGGAAAGGATGAAAGCTTGGGATCCCGCTGGGGTGTCCTGGTGAAGTGGTGCCAGGAGCACCCACGGAGCACGTGGGGCAGTGCCAGTGGCTCTGGAGACTGAGGCAGTTTGGGTCTGAGGATGAGGAGTGAGCCTGGTCCTGGATTACTGTGGGAGCTGTTCTTGCAGCACCTTCTCTGCCCAGACTGGAGCATATTTTGTAATTAACCAATTCCCTGCAGCAGCCAAGCTTTAAATTTGTCATCTGGAAATGCAGGATAAGTTTCACTCCACTACCTTTTCTCATTCCTGTAAGCAGGTGACTGGACTCAGCTGTCACATCAGGTCCGGATTTCGTGTGGTTTTAGGCAAAACTCTTCCTCCTGCAGCAGCTGGAATTGCAGCACAGCCAGTGGGAGCAGAAACCCCTGTGGGAGGCTGAGACTTCTAAAGCAAAATCCAGTGGTGTATGTACAGAGAGGGAACCTCCTACCTGGGAAAGCCTTTGCCTCCTGTTCCCGGGGTCTGTGCTGTGCTTCCCTGGGCTGTGGCAGCAGCTCCTGCCTGGCCTGGGCTGGGTGACACTCCAGGGGCAGGAAGGTGCTTCCCAAAGTGCTTTGGGAGAGACAATGCAAGACATTATTCCATCTGAATGATGACCCAAGGGGGGACTGTTCCTGTTTGGCTGCTGATTAATCATTCTGCTCCATAATTGGCATTACTTGTGTACTGAAGTGTCTCTTCCCTGCTAATGGGAGACAACTGATGGCAACAGACACTGCTTTGGGCCCTGACAGGAGCTTGCTGAGATTCTGAGAACTCCATTTAATGCTGCAAAATGGGCTTCCTTGCCAAAAGTTTTTGCTGTCATTTACATATTTGAAAGTCCCAACTTTATCACTTATGAAGCTGTTCATGAGCATCAGTGGCTCCTGTGTTTGATGGGAGTTGAGGTTCTGACTCTTAAGCAGAAAGGACATGTAATTGTTGTGATTAAAAGACATTTTTATTAAGCTGGAATTACTTATTCCATCAGTTCAAACCTGATGAATTTCCAGCCTTAAATAGCTTATTGAGTGTGTCTTGTCAAATAAGAAGATTACACACTGGGCTTTAGTTAACAAGATTTTCAGAAGTGTGAGGCACAAATGCTGGAAAGCTCCAGCAGTCTCAGTGCTGCGTTGCCCGGGAGTCATTCCCTCTGAAGGTGTTTCTGCTGCAGGTCTGTGCTCCTGATTCATTGACTGGGCTCCCTGGGAGCTGCTGAGGCAGCTTCCATGTCTCCTGTGTGCCATTCCTGCTGGGTGACTGTGCTGGGCTGGATCCTCCAGGATCTTCACCCCCCTGAAGGGCGGGAAGCTGCGAGTGGCCCAGGGCACTGTGCCCACCCTGCTGAGGTGCAGGACGTGAACATCAGTGAGTGGTGCTGGCACTGCCCCCACATTGCTCTGGGGGGCGTGGGGGGGCTTGTCCAGGTGGGATTGGGCATCCCCAGGGCTCTCCCTCAGACCCACTGAGGACAAACTGCTGAGGAACTGGGAGAAAGGTGTAAAGAGCCACTTACCTTTTGGTTTGACACTGGGCCTTACTCCGGGTTAATCTGGAGTTACAGCACTGGCCTTTCTGAGCCATCCTGCCTTTTCTGTCCTGTGCCTGGTGCCCGTGGGGGTTTTTGGCTGAGGGGGGGCAGCCCCATTGTGAGCAGCCCCATCACCTGGAGAACTCAGACCTGTGCAGGGCCTGACAGTTTTGCTCTGCAAATGAGTACGTTTGAGAACTACACGGTGAGAGAAATTCAATTTATTTTGTACAAGGTAGGATACCTTTGCACAGTGAACAAATATATTACAAATCTGTCTTGCCTTAAAAAAGTATTGCCATTTTGGTGCCTGTTTCCTAAGCTGACGCTAATATACAAGAAGGTACCTTTTTTTTTTGTTGGTTTTGCTTGTTTTTTTTTTCCTTTTAAGCTCTATGCATCATTGCATTTGGTTTCAAAATCCTGCTTTGAAAAAAAAACAAAAAACAACACAACAACTGAGCACATCTCTGCTCTCTGGAGTCTCATTGCAAACTACAGCAACACACAAACATGGGTCAGGCTGGCAGCTGGGGCTGCTTGTGCTGGGTGTCAAGGTGGGGCTCCACGAGAGTATTCCTTATCCAACTGCCTTTCTCTTGATATTTTTGAGGTAAGTCTTTCCGTTCATGTACATAAAATATGTTCCTACTGGCCCTACAAAATAACTTACATCTCGAATAAGGCTTTCCTGGAAAACAAAACCGCTACTGCTGCTCAGTCAGGGCCCCCATGCACACATGCAGCATTCAGGGAATCGTGTGGGAATGATCCTGGGACATGGACATCGGCTGCTCCGGGAGCCTGGGGGGTCTCTGGGCTCAGGTTGGGGGGTTCAGAGCCAGCCTGATCACCTGGTGGGTCCTGGCTCTGAGGGACAGGGCTCCCAGGGCAGGATTCCCAAGGACAGGGCTCCCAGGGTAGGATTCCCAAGGACAGGGCTCCCAGGGTAGGATTCCCAAGGACAGGGCTCCCAGGGTAGGATTCCCAAGGACAGGGCTCCCAGGGCCAGGATTCCCAAGGACAGGGCTCCCAGGGCAGGATTCCCAAGGACAGGGCTCCCAGGGGTGCCCTGCCAGGAGCTTCAATCCCAGGCTGAGCCCATCTGTGGGGACAGGATGGGCCCCTCCACAGTGCTCCAAATGATCCTGGTCTGACACAGAGCCAGGATCCAGCCACTTTCTCCCAGCTGGAGGGCTCCTCTTTCCAGTCCCAAGCCCAGCAGCTCACCCAAGGGATCGTGTTGAGCAAACTGATGGATCTGGTTCCGTTCTCTTCTGCTTCCACCAGGCTGGCGAATGTGCAACAGAATATTTCTTTATATTTAAGAGGCATCAACTTGCTACTTCCACGTTTGCCTAATAAAATTACATACTTAGAGTCAATACTACTTCATGCTCAAAATCTACAAGGAACTAACGGCAAGTACTCTACTTTCTAGGTCAATAAAGATTATAAATTAAAAAAAAAATAATTGTGGTGGCGCAATGCAAAACTTTACCATGGGTCAGCCCCGTGATAATCAGTTCACAAACAGCTGCTGAAAAAGAAAACCCAGTTTCAGCTCCATTTAATGACATTTCAGGTAGAATCACCAAAGGATAACGTTGCACTACATGGTAATGCCCATCAAATTAAAGGGGGTCATCAGTGGCATGCTGACAAGTGAACCATGAGGAGATGGTTTGAAAAGATGGGAGAGAGAAGCTGTTGTGGCTCAGCTTTGGGAAAGGAAATGAAACCAGGGCTGGTCTGTGCAGACCTGCAGTGTCCCAGGGCAGGAAAGGGAGGTGCAGCAGGTTACAGGCCTGACAGATCTGCTGGATTTAGCCAACAAAAGAGAAGCTGTATAAGGAAAATTAAAGCCCATCTGTGCCAATCAGAAGTGTGGTAAAGTGGGTGGGAGGCTCATTGTGGAAATGGTCATTAGCAAAGATCAGGGGACTTTTGGAAAGATTTAAAAAACGGCACAGAAGGTGTCTGTGTTAATATTCCTCAACTCAAACCCTCTGGTACTGAGTGTAAAGATGAAAATCCCAGTGCTAATTACCGAGCATGATCTGCACAGGCTGCACATGGTGGTGGCAGTAAATGAGGTGTCCTGACAGTGAAATGACAAGTTTCCCTGCTCTCGTTCAGAAAAATGTCCATTCCCATGACAAAGATGAAAATCAATTCCAGTGCATTCCCAGTCACCTTGTTCCTAAAGGTAAAAGATTTCTTGATGCAGTTGGTAAAAATGTACATCTTTAAGTCCTTCTACTTAGCATGTGTTTGTGGTTTATTTTACAGCAAAGCCAGGGTTAGAATACAAGCCACGGAGAGTTTTTGCCTGGAGCACGTGGACACCTTCCTGGGGTGATGTACTCCAGCCACACGTGGAGGAGGTTCTGTTAGTTCCAGTTACCCATATAAAAATGTCTTTATAAATAACATCATGCAGCAGCAGTTGGCCCAAGCTGATGTTGTGTCACGTCAGGTCCTTGCGTAAGCCAGTCCACATCCGTCAGCATCCCACAGCGTGGAAAAGGATTGGCTTCTCCTCTGCTTCCTCAGTTTGTGTTGGCAGCACAGTGGAGTCCATCCCTTTAAGACTGCTTGTCCCAAGAGGGCCCGTGTGTCGGGCTGTGCCGGACGGGGAGGAGGTCGTAGTGCCCAGGAATGTGGCTGTTCCTGGGAAGGTCGTATGGATTCTGGAGGTAACTGGCACTCCGACTGCGGCCATCTTGGACTATGCTGACAGTGGGCTCTGGGGGAGCAAGGAAAACTGGGTTATGGCAACCAGCAGCACTCCCAAAACCAGTTACTGTCCTCATGTGTTTTGTCCAAGCACAGGACGTCGGCCTCCCAAACCATCTCATCCCCCTCCAGCTTCACGGGCAGCACAGGAGGCAGCACGTGGGGCAGAGCAGGGAGAAAAGCACCAAACAGGAGCCAGGGAACGGCTGGAGCTGTGCCAGGGCAGGGTTAGGCTGGATATCAGGAAAAGGTTCTTCCCCCAGAGGGTGGCGGGGCACTGCCCAGGCTCCCCAGGGCAGTGGGCACAGCCCCAGGGCTGCCAGAGCTCCGGGAGGGTTTGGACAACACTCTCAGGGACATGGTGGGATTGTTGGGGTGTCAGTGCAGGGCCAGGAGTTGGACTTGATGATCCCTGTGAGTCCCTTTCAACTCAGGATACCACCTTCACAGCTCTTAGCTCCCCAAATCAACACACCAGTGCTCAGGCCTTCCCCCCACTGCCAGTGTCTCCTTGCCCTGTGCCAAGTCCAGGTTACTTGTGTCAGGAAAGCAGAAAACCAGCCTCTGCACTGAACCCCCCAGCTGCTGGAGCAGCCCTCGTGCCACCCACTGCTTACCAACTTCGTAGATGTTTTTATTGGCTGTGGATGAAGTTGGCATTTCGGAATACGGGGACTCCCTGTGACCAGGCGATTTCATTTCCACGTAGCTGCTCTCGGAGTGTTTGCAGGTTAAAATGGGGGGGTCTTTAATGGTGGCGTAGGGGTTTTCACTGCTGTTCAGGGAACAAGTGCTGGAGCTGCACACAGACTCTTTCATATAATCTGCAAAACAAGAGCGGGGTGGGAGCGTGAGGGTCGTTAGCTTAACTCAGTTAATTACAGCTGAGCCTCTGCAGGAAGGCTGGGGGTGACACGGGGACAGGGGGTAAGGAGGATCCTCGACGCATCCAGCACAGACACCCGGCGCTTGTGCTCTGGGTGTTCCAGACCATTGCATCCACAACTCACTGGCAGGAAAGAAATGAAAACCTGCTCAGTACCGAAGGTTTTGCTGTAAAAGGTTCTAGCTGTCATTTACTGCAACGTTTAATTTGAGGTGGCAATGCCTTCCCTCCCTCCCCTAATTCCTAAGGAGCCGTGTTTAACCCTGCCCGGGACCACGAGTCGGCTCTGCAGGCAGGACCTTCTGCTGGGACTGGGGCTGCTGGGCCAGCTGCAGGGTGAGTGTCCCGGGGCTTCGGGCACATCCAAGGCCCTGTGTTGGAATGCACAGCTTTGCCACAGGCTCAGAACTGCACCAGTGCAGCCTTTGCATGTGTGGCCCCCTGAGAGTTTGGGGTTATCCAGCATCCTACAGCTGGAACACTTAGGTTTCCACAGGGGGGGACAATACTCTGTCTGAGCCTCACTTTTGCTCTGCTTTACCCCCCCATTGCTGCAAACACCTCCTGCTCCTCTCCCCTGGAGAGAAGGAGACGGTGACAGAGGTGCTACGTGGGGGGAACAAGGTTGGCGTGAGAGCTGTGACCACCAGCCGGTAACCCTGGCTGGGCTGTGCCAGCCTGCTGCAAGGTACAGTGCCAGTCTTGCTTCAAAAAATAAAAAACAATAGAGAATAAATAAGTCTTAACATTGACAGTCAAGAACGTGCCATTGCTGCCGTGTGCATCCTGCTGGGCAGTGCCAGTAATTTAGAATTAGAGCGATGCAATGAAAGATGAGGCATTTTCTTGTGCTGGGTTACAGTACAAAGGCAGATCCTGGTATATATGAAATACTCCCGGTGAAATAGTGGGACTTGCAAAATAGCTGCAATCCCAGCTGCCCCCGCTGTCTAGTATGGGAGACAAAAAGAGAAATTCAGGTTAAGAAATGACAGACAACACGACATCGCTCCTCCCTTACAAACCTCGTCTCCGAGCCCCATCCTGCTCCCTCTCTCGCCAGGTTTGCTCCACTGGGTGTGATTCTCCCTCCACCAGCTCTGGGGTTGTGTCTGTCTGTGTCTGTGTGTCCATCACCCCCTGGGCCTGGTGCCCCTCGCCTCGGTTCAGCCCTGAGCAAGGTGCCAGGTCGTGCCCTGCCACCTGCACAAGGGGTTGCCTTTCTGGGCTCCAGTTCCAGGGACACTGGCAAGTCTGGAGAGCCCTGAGCTCTCAAGGTCAGTGAAACCAGCTCCACCACTAACAAACCAGCAGGACGTGCTGGGACCATCAGGGCTGGGAGGCTGGCAGAGGCCCTGGCACCACTGCAATGTTTATTTACTTATAAAACTAAGAACCTCCTTGTCTGACTTCAGCCTGGGTGAGATTAGCAGTGCCTTTGCTTCCAAGTGAAACACGCCTGGTTTGGTACATCACAGCACATGGGAACCAAGGAACACCGAAATTCCCTGGCTGTTGGACACAGGGTTTGGCCCTCCAGCTTCTCCAACCCCTTCCCAGTACAAGTCAGGGGAAAAATGCCCCATCCCATCCCATCCTTTTACAGGACGATGGAGCGACCCTGGGAGACCAAAGGCTCCTGCACATGAGTGAGCTCAGCATTGTTGGCCTTTGTTCTGTGTGTGTGACTCAAATTCAGGTGCCAGAGTCTGGGATCTGTTGGTGTGAGAGACGAGGAGACCATGGACAAGGACTAACAAATGAATTAATCCATTAATCAAAATCTTTGGATTGAAAAGACCTGTTTGGACTGGGCCCCAGTCTTCAGTCAGTGGGAGGGTTGTGCATGAGTGAACTCTCTCACGTGGACAAGGAGCCAGAGTGGGAGCACTCACTGCTTCAGGGACACGGCTGGATGAAGAGACACTCATTCCTGAGGTTTTCATTCCATTCTCAGCCAAAGAAAGGCTCAGCTCTACCTGGCAGCAAGTTACAGCTCCTGGTGGGTACTACAGGTCTGTAGTGCTTGTTAGGAGAGTCTGGGCAGCCTTCAACGAGCCAGCTCTACATTTTGGGGCAAGACAGGGAGATTATGACAAACTTCCTTCTCTGTCTCAAGCTGTGCTGCTGAGCAACACTTTTTGGGGCAAACCTTCATGGGGCAAAAGGCAGGATCCTCCCTGTGCCCTGAGTGTCCACTACAAAGCATTCCCTGGTGGCACCACGGCTGGGAGGGAACAAATCAAACCAGAGCTGGGCTTAGAATAATAAAATGTCAATTATAAAGGACTGCAGGCTACTACAGCAAAAAAGGGCCGAGTGAGAAATGCTGCTCCTGCAGAGCTGTGTTGGGTCAGTGCTGGTTTGTTTATGGAATTGGGCACATTGGAGCTGGCACAGGCAAAAATCCCAGCACATCAGCTCTTTTATTAAGTCCAGATCAGCTGCTTTTACTTTCCTAAGCTAAAATTCACCTGCCCTGCTGCCAGGGCTGACACTGCCTGCCAGGCAGGTGTCCCTCAGCACCAGCCCTGCCCTTCCCAGGACCGTGCTGGGAGACTCCCATCAAACACCACCGGGGCTGCCCAGACTGGTTTGGCCTCTCCCAGGAACTGCCTTTCCCCAGAAGAGATTGGGAAACAACATGCCCAGGAGCAGATTCCCTCTGATGTAAACGGGAGCTCTGTGTCCACCCTGGGATCAGACCTTCGCTCTGGATACAATAAATATATTTTATGGAGCACCAGCCCATGTTTGGGAATGTGCTGCACACCAGGGAGCCATCAGCCCACCAGAAACACTGTGTGCAGGATCACGGAGAATTTAAGGGATGGAGAAGCAGCTGAGTTACTTTGTTATTAAGGTAATTTGGGGATAATTAAGAAGTCTGGCATCGATTGTCAGATTTCATTTCATGAATTAATTTAACCAGAACAAGGGTGTTTAGAAATTCTCAGCCCGAGGTGCTGCAGGCCCTGTGTGAGCTCTGGCCATGCTGCCTCCTCATCCTCCCCTGTACCCACAGGGAGCTCTCATGGAGGTGGAAGCTCAGCTCGACCCATGGCACTGTCACCACAGTGCTGGGACTCACTGGAAGCACTGGATCAGCTGGACTTCCAGAGAAATATGGGGAATATGCTCTAATTTTGCATTCCCTGCCTTCTATGTTGCCTGGATACCAATCACAAGACCTTTGGAGGGTTTATTTTTGTTAGCAGGGACTGGAAATGTCCCTCCCACAGACTGGGTTCCTCTCTTTTGCCCTGAATTTCCCCTGGCATCCTAATGACAAGCCTTGGAACCTACTGCCCCACTGGAAGTGCTAAGGAAAGGTGCTGCACACAGGTAGAACCTGCTGTTCCTGCTATTTAATCCCCCTTAGGGATGCCATGCCTTGCTGACTGCTGTCCCTGTCCTGCCCAACCCTGGCTGCTGCAGGGACAGCAGCACAGCAAGGGCTCAGTGCTGCTGTTCAGAGTGACACAGGAGTGGGGACACATCCTGTACAAACCCCAGATGAACCAGGCTGAACCCTGAGATTAGTGCTTCCAGCTCCAGGGATTTTCCTGGCTGTTGTGCAAAGAGTAGGGCTTTTTTCCTTAAAATGTTACTGCCTGAGGTCACATTATTCCACCAGTGCATCAGCACTCATTTAAAAAAAATACTTCTAAAAAATACAAAAGGACTCAGCTGCAAGGAAAAGCTTGCAAATGGTGTCACTGAGCACCATGCACAGGAAAGAAGCTGCTCAGAAAGCTGCTCTGGAAATCTTGTGACTGTTCAGCCCCTGTCACCAGGCGCCACCACTGTGGCCCCCAGCCCCTTGCTGCTCCTCTCTGTCAGACACTGGGAGCGACCCTGGCAAACCCAAACCTCTGTGCCTGACCCCCTGCACTCCACTGGCAGCATTCCTTGTGTCAGGCTGCACAGGGAACACCCCTCTCCTGGTGTCCTGCTCTGGGACAGCCCCCAGCCAGCCCTGAGGGGAACAGGCTCTGGTCTCAGAGGAGGAGAACTGGGGAAGGGGGTGGTGGAGCAGGACCACCACAGCCTGACCTCAGCCCCAGGCCCCTGTGCCCCCTCCCAGGCTCTGAGCTGGTCCAGGAGCACCAAACATCACTTTCAGCTGCAGAAGCTTTCCCCAGCTGGACCACACAGGTGGGAAAGGACCAGGTTTTTAAAGTGGATGAAAGCAGATAAAAACCAAGTCCCTGCCCACCAAGCCTCTCTGCTGACACAATCCAACTGGTTGGGACTGGGAGTTTCTCCATCTTTCAGAGGAATTTGGTGAGTCAGGGCTAACTCTGCACCTGGCAGGGCAGGAAGAGCTGCAAGCTGAGCGTGGGGCACATTCCCAGCTCCTTTTGGAAGGAATTCCCCTGGGACTGGGGGTGCCCACACTGCCCCAGAGCCCCGGGGCTGCCTAGGTCCAGGAACTGACCTTCAGACGGGACTGGGGGAACCTTCAGCCAGCCACAGGCAGCTGCTTCTGAGAACCCTCAGCTGCCAACTGCCTGCAGGTAAGCTCCCCAAAATCCCTGGGAAGCCAGGTGTGTCCCTGTGTCCCAGCACTCTGCCCCTGCCAGCGCCAGCCGTGCCCGTCTGAGGCAGCTGAGCAGCACAAAGAACTCCCCAGCTGCCCTGACATGGCTTCTGGGCCTGATTTTTCCATTTATAAGGAGATCAACATGTAAAAGAAATGGTTCAGATCCTAAATAATAAGCAAAATACGTAGGAACAGAAAATACATTTCATAGTTCCCTGTCACTGGGATTCTTTTCCCCTGTTCCCGCTGGTTCCCCTCTGTGTGACTGTGCCTATGGATGGGAGCTCCTGCTGCATGTGTTTCAAGCAGCTTTTAAACCTTGTAAACCCAGTAATTTACTTTAAACTAATTAAATTAATAGTTCCATGTAAAGAGAACAAACTAGCTATAATGTAATAAGATTTTTCTTCTGAAAAAGAGAATCATTGAAGGAGCTGAAACCAGTGGATTGAGTATATTGTATATAATATATATCATATATGTACATAACCCTTTTAATATTTTAATTCCAGCTTTCTTAAGAAAGACTGGGTCATGGATTGTTGGTTTCCTTTGGTGTTTCTGTGCAGTAAGGTGAATTTTTAGCAAATATTGCACCACTGTATTTTGAAAAGAGCAGCTACAAAGTGATTATTGACCTCTAAGCCTGGCTACAGGCTGATCATTGCTTTGTGTGAGGAACAGCTTTGGATATTCCTTGTTAGTTCAGATAAAGGTGTGGCTCTGGAGCACCTCAGGCCTGGCAGAGCAGTGGGGGTCTGGAACCCAGCTCTGTGTGAGGGCACCACTGCCCCCATGACTCAGCCAAGAGCAGCTCCAGGACATTACTGTGGTATTGCCCTCCTTGGCTGATGGAGGGACATTCCCAGGCATGTACAGACACAACAGCCTTGGATTCACATCAAGGACCTCAGCCTGAATCCTGCCTATTCCCAGGACACAGATTCCTTGCTCCACCTTCTGGAGCACAAGTTCCACGTGCTAAATCCCAGCCCAACCTGCCAGGAGCTTGTGGGAACCACTGTGCCAAGTGCTCCCGTGGTCCAGGCATAACTGGAATGTTTTGAATGTAAACCTGGAGGACAAGTGAAATGTAAAACCACTGGGCCCTGTGCTCAGGACTCATCCCTGATCCCTTTTTAGACCTGCCCTGGAGTCAGTGCCCATAACTTCTCCTGCCATGTGAGGGGTCAATGACCTCAGGGAGGGCTGTTCTCCAGCTCTGCTCCAAATCCCTCTCAGCAAAGGGCACGAGGCAGGGGCAGCTTGTTTTCCAGGGGCTTTGCTTAAGCTCAAGATGGCCAAGAGCAGGGAAGCACCCCAGGCTGTCCTCAGCAGCTGCCACCAGATCCTCGTGGGTGGCCAGTGGGTCCTACAGGAGTGTCCCCTGCCCAGCCAGCTCCACCTGCCCCTCCTGCCCTGCAGCTGAGCCCTCCCTTTAGCCTTGTGCTGCTGTGCCAGGCAGGAACCTGTGGCCCTGGGAAGCCTGAATCCATAATTCATGGTCCCAGGAGTGCTGCCAGCAGGCAGCTTGTGTGGGTCATGGCTCTGTCCCTCCCTGTCTCTCCCGGCCTCTCTCCCAGGGGCTCCTATCTCACCTCTTCTAGGACACCCTCCTCACACCTGGCAGGGTTCTGCAGCACTGGATACCATACCTTTGAAGCTTTTTTCCATTATGTATGTGTTCTGACGTCTATCCATCCCACAAGCACCTGCATAAAAATGATATATAATGGAAAACAAATAAATATTTATGTAAATTGGATTGCTTTGACTACTGAGCAGCATATATTCTTCCCTCTAAACTGTACATCAGGGCCCTCATTTAGGGAGGCTCTTAAGCACATCCTCAGCCGTGAGCACACACTCAGCTTCAGTGGGGAGTCTGTGCATGCCTGGAATTCTGCATGTGCTTAAGAGCTTCCCTGAAGGGAGGGCTTTCCTGCAGCAGGGTTACCAAGAACAGCCATCAGGAGATCAGGAAAAAATCATCTGCTGGTACATTCATTACTGAAACACTGGCTTGGATTAGTGAAAGAAGCCTGAAACGTGTCCTTTCCAACGTGAGTCTGCAGGTTGTGTTGCATCACTCTGTGACTAATTTTAGGCTTTGTTTTGTTTGTGGATAGTGGGTTATTTGACTTACAGCCTTAGATCTGAGGTGTTTACAATCTGCTTGAATTACCTGCTATGACTTTGCTCATAAATTTGCACGGTTCAATAACTGATGTGACAACAGTCCCTAAGTGCCCACTGTGGTCTGACAGTGCAGAGAGCTGACAGCAACACTTGTGCCTCCATAGGAACTTGCTGTTCCTCATGGAAGCAGAGACAGAAGGGGATGGGAACCCCTTTCATTTCCACTATTGCAGATTACCCTCGATATCAATCAAAAGGCAAATCTAATGTAAGCCTTTAAATCTCTTTAACTATAGAGTCTGGTATTTCTTATTGACTAGGAAAATCAATACAAATTTGGTTACTGAGAAATGTCTTCGTGTCTTATGGGATTCCCAGTCAAGTAACTCAGTTAGGCTGGGAAAAGAGCCCTGCAAACAGTGTGTCCCAGAGGCTTCCCAGCTATTTGTCCTTGAGTGTCCTCTGGTCTCTGCAGAAAAGTTGTCACAGCCACGGGCAGTGCTGTACCAGTGCCTTTATCAGCACACCTTTGGGTTTTTTGCTAAATAAGGAAAATGACTGAATTGGACAATAAATGTGTGAGTGGCACATCAAAGACAAGCCAACCCCTCTGCTCTGGCTCTCAGAGCTCAGCCCTGAGCACAGGAACAGGGCTGGTGGTGCATGACCACCATCCTCCCTGTGATGGGGCCCTTCCCCTTCTGGCCAAGAGTGACCCCCCAATCCATTGGAGCACCTTCTGCTTTGTTTTCCACCTCTGATCCTGAGCCAATTCCTGATGCAGAGGGCAAGGCTGACTGGGAGGTGTGGGAAGCTCTGTCACACAGCAGGATTAGCTCAGTGCTGGTTTTCTCTCCTGCCAGGGCAGAGTCCCAGGCGAGGAGGACGGAGCTAATTCATCCCTTGGCTGCCATCCAAGAGGACTGGGCTCCCTTTCCCAGCAGTGGAGCTCCCCAAGGCCATCCCTGGTGATCACACGGCCTCCTGCCAGGGCTGAGCAAATCTCCAAGGGCAGGAACACCAAGCAGTGTTTGGGCAGCTTCACATGGTGCCTCCAGCAAGGAGAACTCACACCAGGCTGGGGTGGGAGCAGCTGGAGAGCTCCCAACAGGTCACAGTGGGAAGGGGCTGTGGCAGGGAAGCAAAGGGGACCCAGGCTGACCCATGGGGAGGGCATTGCTCTTGGGAGCCCTACATGACCCTTCCCAATCTATTCCCTGTAATTCTGCCTTTAGTTTTCTCTTTTCTCTCTTATGATACTGTGGGTTTATGACCTGTTTTTGTGTATTTGCTGTGCTCCTCAGGAGGTGAAATGGACACATTATTCTTTAACCTGCAGAAGTCATTAATGTGGAAAAGTCCTAAACAGGCCAGGAATGTGGCATTTTATGAAAGTCCAGGTTTAACTTTGAAGTTAAATTATCTGCTGGGTGAAATCAGGGTCTCAGCTGGAAATACTTTTCCACACCTCTTGGCTTTGAGAAAAATGCAGAGTCAGCTGTGAATCAAACTTAGTGGCTTTGGTCCTTTGGAATAAATTCAGCTTCGAGTCCCTCACGATGGGCTGCAAATCACACTTTAGTCTCTGCATCAAGGACTGCTGTTAAAAAAACATTACACATAAAACTGTTTTTGCTGCAGCTCACTGTGCCCAGCACTGCAGCCAATGAGCACAACAACCCTCCCTGAACTCAGGACGTGGTTCAGGAATTTTGACTCCCCTGGGAGAGGAGCTGGAAGCTGGAATCTGCCACTGCTCAATGCAGACAGGACTAGAGCAAGAGAGATCAGTCAAATTCCTGTTCTGCAGCAGGAGATGGAGACCAGAGAACTTTGCAAAGCCAAGACCCTCCTTGTAACTAGGACTGGGCTGCCTTGGGAAGGCAGTGACACACAGGGAGGTGACAAAGCTGCCTCTTCTTGGCACCAGAGTCCCCAAACTCTGATCTCTCAAGCCCATGTCCATGGGAATTACTCGTGCTCATCCCTAGAACAGACACGACCAGCTCTCTGACAAAGCCCCATATTTGAAGCTCACAAGCAAATGTGCCAGTAGTGAAAATACAGGCTTTGTCCCTGCATTCCCCACTTGGAAAGAACATGAACCTGGCAAACAAAAGTCCTGCAAAACAGGTAGGACACCTGCAGCCTGGTGAGATCCACTGGAATTAAGAAAACTCCTTATTACTGCAGGTTTTAGAAGATGAATGTCCGAGTTAATTCTCACACAGGTATTCTTACAATATCCTTTCCCTCAACTATAATTAACATTTAGGACACCTGCAAATTCCAGCAAGCCTACAGACACCCCTGTGAGCCTGATGCTCCTCATCTGGTTGGTCCCATCCTTTGGAATCACTGCCACAGTCAGAGGGGTCGCTGGCAGGGGGGTGACCAGAAGAGCTGAAGGTTTCCATCCATTCCAAATTTCTCTTCAATGTCTTTTCCATCTCCCTTTAAATTCTCCCCCACCTCTTGCTCACTTACACCTCTGCTCTCCAGGACATTTCAGGGTCACAGCACAGGAGCTGTGCAGTTGTCCAAGGCCATTTTAACTCTTTTTAACTGAATCCAACCCTGCCCAATGCTTGGCTGCTCTTCCAGAGCATGAGCTGGGGCATCTGTGTCATAAACCTAAGGCTGGAAGTGGGATAAGAAGGTGCATCATGTCTTTAACTGTGGTACTTCCATGCCTGATGCAGTTTGAAGGTCAAGATCCCCTCTGTGACCCCACGGGGCTTCACTAATATTTTGTGTTTACAACTCAACATTGAAGATTTTCACTTCTTTTCTGAAATTTGCACAGGTGGAATCTGCAGCTTTTATTGTACCAAAGTAATACTGAGAAATGAAAACATTTTACAGTTTCATATAAAAATGGCCTTGATCTGAGCAAGAACTCAACATTATGAAAGTCAGCACGAGCAGACATTAATTCTGGTACTGAAAAGGAAGAAAAAAAAAATCTCATTTTCATCAATTACTGTGAAAAAAAGAAAGAAAAAGGTATCCTGGATGCAAAATGTCATGGGAAAAACTGAGTGTTTTGCAGGAGACCACTTAGCTAAAAGCTAAAGTATTTAGCACTTCTTACTGCAGAGGCATTTGGCATTGCTTCTGCCAGTAAAATAAAATGCATGAATGCAGGACAGATGTGGCACACAGGGAGCTCAGGACACAGCAAGATAAACACAAATAAAGCAAATAAGTGTGCAAAAAAAAAAGCAGCAAAATGGTAAAAGGAAAATTAACTTGATCCGAGGAGCATTTGGAAACCCTGACCCCCCCGGCCCCCATGTCATGTACAGATAAGCACAACAGCAGTTCTGCAGGTTATTATACAGCAGAGCACATTAATGGTTTTAATGATGAGAAGGTTTTGCACTGAAGCTTGACAGGTTTGTGATTTTCCTGATGCAGGGAAGGCCTGATCTCTGGAGCGAGGCCTGGGGTGTGCCAGGAGCTGTGACAGGATGTGATGCCTGGTGCTGCCCTGGGCTCATTCCTGTGCCACGTGAGCTGGGAGATAGTTGACCTTAAAAATCCCATAATACCCCTTAATGCTGCACTTTCCCCCCCTACAGCATATTTTCAGTAAGATATCAGTAATCCCAGCAAAGGAAAGGGCAAATGGCTTCTCTGCCACTGAGAAGCCAAACTCCAAGTGCTCAGATAGGAAAATAAATACCATCCAAAGCACTAAATCTGGGCAGGACTTGAGCTAAGAGCTGCTGAAAACCCTGTTAAAACTTAAGCCAGGGAGAATAAACTCAGGAAAGGTAATTAAACTTCACTCTTGGCTTGGCTGCACCGGCGGGTGGCTCAGAATTGCCTGAGAAGGGGGCAGGGTGTGATTTACCGGGAGATAACGGCAGATCGCAAGGCCCAGCTCCCACAGAGGCTCCACACCTCCATCAACATGCCAGCATTTAGTGCTGAGCTTTATTAAGCATGAAAGAAAAGGAAAAACAACAAAAAAACCCCCCAAATTTGAATTTTTAATGTCCTCGGTCAGTCCTTAAAAAAACATTTATGGAGTAATGATGGCGATTCAACCCAGCAGCCTTGGGAGGGAGGCTGGAATGAATATTGACTCTGCTCTCCTAGTCTGTGGTTTGTGGTAAAGGAAACAATTCTCAATTCTCCACCTTTCACTGCTGGCAATTCTGATGGTGAAATAAAGACAACAACAATATTCATCATTATTGTTAATGCCTTTATGAAAGGCTGACTTGGGTGTAGAATTGCTCTAAAGTCTACTAAAGTGATTAAAGTGTTTAAAAATTACTGACCTAGTTCATTCAGATAGCTGTAGGGTCTCCAGTCTGCAGTTTCTCTGTCAAGGACTTTGTTACTGAGCTGTTCAAAAAGTATGATAATGGGTTAATGCTGGAAGAAACAGACAGTTCCCACCCGAGACTCCAGCCCAAGGATGTCAGGAATAAAAATGGGAGATGACTGTTACCTTAGCCTCACATTTCAGCCCTTTATCTATATGGGTTTGACAACTGTTCACTAGCATTAGGGAAAATCACAAAGGAAAGTCACTTCACCAAGCAATGAACAAAAACATGCTGGAAAATTCAGGATTTCCTTGAGTACCACGACTTGGATGCCTGTGGACATGGAGTGACATGCTGGCAGCTCCAAAATAACTGATGGAGATGGATGGATCAAACCCACCCACATCAGCATGCAAAGAGGGGCTACTTGGAACTGAGTGGATCTGCTGAGACATCTGTGTGTTCAGTGACAAGAGATGGGATGGTGACAGAGTTCTCTCAATTCAAGGAAAATCACTTTGGCAACAGTGAAGCACAAAGCCCTGTGCAGATCTGCCAGCAAGGAGAGGAGCCCAGGGCTGCCATCCAGATGCTGCTGCTGGAAAAACACCTCTCCCAGCGTGGCAGCTGGGACCCTCTGTGTGCCTGAGGCATGGAATGGACACATCCCACACTGCCGTGGTGGGAATGCCTGGAAAAGGCTGCTGGTGTATTGACCACCCCTGTCAACGTGCTCTGGGTTTCTCTGCCGTCTGTCGAAGCCTCACTTGAGCAAAACGATGGTTGAACGCAACACCAAGGCAGGCACAGGGGATTTGGGGCTCTGGGGTGAGCTCACTGGAGCGTCTCTGTGGTCAGTGGAAGAGGGGGGGCTGCTGTTTGGGGGTACAAGGCTCCTCTGGCCTGGGGCATCACAGCAAAAAGGGGCTCTACCACTAGAAAGCCCCTGGGGATCAGGTGAGTCCCAGCAAGGAGGGTCTGGGAATCACTGTAGTTGCTAAAGCTGCCGAGTTTTCCACCTTCACGTTCTACCCTTGAAAGCCACACCTGATGCAATACAGCTGGTCCTGAGGAGGTGTCAATTCAAGAGCAAATCCCACCCCTGTTTCTGAAAAATTAGTTATGAATCCGTCATTGCTCTCCCGTGTCTGCTTCCACACTGGGAAGCCTCCTGCCTCTCTTCAGAGGGTTCAGCTCTGCTATTTTTCTGTATTTACAAGAAAATGCTTAACAAAAAGGAGGTTAAAACTGAAAGAAAGTATTCAAAATTATCACAGCATTTCATTGTTCCTGACCTCTCATTAATTTTTGCTTAGCTTTCTCAGTGGATTTTTAGGCCTGGAACAAAGAAAAACCCCACTGATGCATTGAGGTCTGTTGGGATATTAAATCCCAGCTGACACCCACCACCTACAGCCACAGTCCAAAGGTGTTTTCACCCACCTTCACAGTCCTGTCCAAGAGCCCTCAGTGCCACAGCCACCCCCCTGAGGGTGCAGCCCCATGTTGTCCCTGTGCCTGCAGTGATCCTGCTGTCCCTGGGCACTGAGGAAGCTCTGCAGGAATCTTGGAGTCCTCCAGCACTCCTGGAAATTCCTGATGTGCCACCTGAGGGAAGGGGGACATAGCCCTGTGCTCTCAGGACATGTAGTCAGGTGTGGTCACAAACGTGGTCCCGTTGTGCCACCAGCCCAGGAGCCCATTCCAAACCCATCCAAACCTGACTGGCTGAAGGAGATTCTGCTGAGGAGCCACCAGTGCTGACCTTGCACGAGGCATCAATTCAGGGCAGTCTGTGCCCTGTGCTGAGTGGGAAGTGCAGCCAGATGATCCCCACAGTCCCCTGAGGCCCTGCAGCCCTTGAATCTGTCACCAGGCAACTCCAGTGATCGCTGTGTCCGGGGCTCCTCCTGCTCCTTCTCGTTTTTTGTCCATGTTCCCACGCAGGTAACTCGTGCCATCAGCTCATCAGGCACCTCTGCTCCAGCTGCTCTCCTCAAGGACGTGCCCAGAGCAGGGGGACAGCTGATAAAGCTGCTTGTCTGCAGCATTTCCAGAGCAATCCCTGCCCCAGAGCAGTGGCTGTGGCTGCACATTCCTGCTCCTGGCACGGGCTGTGCGTTGGCATCTCCCAGCCGATGGCACAGGAGCCATTTCTTTATCCTTGAACAGCTCCTGGTGCTTCCCCCAAACTGGGAATGGACACCCTGGCAGCAGGCACAGGTATGGAGCAGAGGGGCAGCCAGGCAAACAGCAGTGGCAAGGGCATGAGGAGCAGATCAGCTTGGAATGTGGCCACTGAAGGAGGAATCCTGGCCCAACACACCTTGGCACATCAGTTCTCAGAGCCCACGGCTTCGTCCTTCTCTTCAGAACTTACAGCCAGAACACAAATGCTGATTTCCAACCCAGCTGCACCACTTAGAGCACATTTATTAAAGTCTTGGGGTTTCTATTAAAAGCTCTGGGTTTGCAGGATTTATAAATCAGCTCACAAACCTAAAATTTGGCATGAAGAGCTACAGGCTAGAATTGATTTTTTTTTAATGAAATGATTTGGGGACATTTCTAAGTTTTTCTGAATGCAGCAATTAGGAAGAAATGTGATTATAGCTGTCTCTTTGTGCTACTATCATTTCTTAACACACTATAATTTGTTAACTTTTTTTTTTTTTAAGATAGAAAATACTTCAATTTTTAGTGCGAAGCAAAATTGCTTTTCTGAAGGAAGAAATCCTTCACAATAAATTTCTCCATTAAAATCCCTAGCTGGTAATTTTAGCAATTTGGTTAAAACTACCTCATATCTGGCAACTTTTCCTTTAAGATCAACGAGACACCAGCATGAGCAAAGCAAAGTCATTATCTGCCTGGCTGAAATAGCTGCCTAGATGACAGTGGCCACCTGATCACCCCCAGCCATTTGTCAATGCCCAGGTTTTTGAAGTCCATGGTGATTAGGCAAAGAAGCTCTGGCAGGAGCTCCATCATACCTTTATCCTCCAGGAGAGCAATCAATAAGAGCTTTGCCATTAATTTCCCTGACTACTGGCTTCAGATTTCCATGGCCCAAGCCAGTGCTGCTCAGTTTTCATGCCCATCCTGGATGCTCTGCAGCCATTCTGTATTTGCAGCCTTCCCTTTTTCCTGGGCAAGTTTTAGTCAAAGGTGCTTTAATGATGCTTTCTGTGGCTGAATTCCTTTTTATGAGCTGGGTGACATCCAGTCAGACCATTTCCAGTGACCTCTGTTTTGCAGTTTCTAATTTTATGTGAAGTCTTTGGTAGAATTTAGAACTTCCTTTAATAGATGTGAAACTGCTGGCTTTAAAAATTCAGGACATCTAATAGCAATTGATTTTTATGATGTCTGCAGAAACCAGCAACACCTGGAAGGGGGTGAGGGTGGAATTATGAGCTTTGCAAAAGCTCAAGGTGAGAATCCTCCATTTGCTTGTGACCATTGCAGCAGCCCCATGCTTTATACAGAGGAATCTTCACAAGCTTTGCAGTGTTCAGTAAAAGTGAAATATATCCCCACTTTAATGCACAACTCAAAAACTCAAATATAGAGCTGGCATTGAAGCCCTGAGAGTGGTTCTGCCAAATGCCCTCTGAGCAAAATAGGTCCTCAGCATCTGAAATCTGGTCTTCAGCTCAAGCAATGAGAGCTCTGATGTGAAGACACAGGTGTGGAGGTGGGTGTGTATCTCTGTTTATCTGCTTTGAAAATCTGCTGCATTAATTTTGTGGCACAATTTCAATCCAGTTCATGTCTGACACCCCTGGGTAACTCGCAGCATCACCATTATTTGCTGCTCCACGTGTCATTAGAAAAAAAGGCCAAACTTTTGTAGGAGCAAAGGTCAAGTTTTGGCTTCACTTAAAGTGACAGTAAAATATCTCTTGACTTCAATGGTTCCAGTGTGTCACCCAAGCTGACCTGGCAAACCCACTCACACGTGGAGAGCAGTTACTTGTGCAAGGTGTCCAGCACTGGAATGCTGGAGCCTCTGCCTCCTCCTTAACCCCAGAGATGCAGATCCATTCTCCTGGACCTTGCACAGAGACAGAGCTCAGCCCAACAAGCTCCTGCTGGTAGCTGGAACAGGCTTCAGGGACACAGGACTGGAAGGGCTTTGATCACAGAGTCCCTGAGTCCTGCTGCCTTTTATTGCAAACACCCAGGCACATAATCCCTTAGATAGCTGATCAAGCTCCATTTTAAGAGTAATCAGATTTCTTTGTCCCATTAGTCTTCCTGGGAAGCTATTCCAAAATCTCACTGATCTGATGTTAGAAATCTAATTTCCAGCTTCGATGCATTCGTGGCCAGTTCATCCTCATTTGTTCTCGTGCCAGGGCTGTCATCCCACTTCAATAGCTCCCCTCCCTCCTCGTGTTTACCTTGCTGTATTTAGAGATGGCAATCATGCTCCCCCTCAGCATTCATTCTGCCACATAAAAGCAGCCAAGCCTTTTTTTAGTCCCTTCTCATACTCTCCCCCTTCTCCTCCCACTTGTTTTCCTCCTGCCTGTGTTCCAGTCCCTGCTCCACTGGCACAACCACCCTGCCCTGTGGGTTTTAATGCCTCCACCTGTATTTGTCTCTCAGCAACTTCAATGATTTACCTCCAGAACATGTGTAGGGTCCTGAGCAGTGGCCAAACATCTGTCTGGCAGAGGGAAATGAGGAGATGAGACACCTTCCCTCTGGTCCTGGGAGGGAGTGGGAAGCTGGGCACTGCTCCCATCCTATGCAGACAGACCCATCTCCCAAAGTGAGGTTCTCAGTGCAGTGCTGGGCCCTTCAGCTCCTGCCCTCAGCCACCCTCACCCACCTCCTTCCCTGGGGGAGGTACCACCGTGCCCCCTGAGAACAGCAGGGAACAGCCACAGTGCTGGGCAGCTGTGCTGGGAGCCCTGGAGTCAGGGATCCTGGAGCTGGGAGAGGAGAGCAGGAAGGAAAACAGGAATAATGTGTGTGGAGTTGGGTGAGAAAAGAGAACAGGAAAAGAGCTAGGAGAAAAACAAAGATAATAAAGTGGAGAGAACACTAAGGGAAGAGGAGAGAAAAGGCAAAATAAGACACAGAAAGAGAGGAGAGGAGAGGAGAGGACAAGATGGGCTGGGGGAGCACAGGAGAGAAACCCCTCCTCAGACTGCAGCAAGGGCTGCATCTCCCATGTCCTGCCTTGTATGTGGCCCAAGCTGTCTCTGAGGGCAGGGAGAGAGGAGTGGCTCCAGTCCATCGCCCCAAGGCATGATCTCCTTGGAGAGATAACATCCAGGGCTCTGGCTCAGCACTTCAGAGATTCCTCTGCCATTTCTTTTCATTTTGCATCTGTGCTGGTTCCTTTGTGACCCCAGCTGGCACCATAAAGAAATGAATCCTCCAAGTACAACTTGTGCACATTTCTCTGCAGAAAGTGGGAATGGCACCAGGCAAACTGATTTGGAATTGAACTCGTTAAGGCAGCCAGTGGGGCTTTATATGCTCCTTTGTCTCACTTGGCTGGAGAGCTGCAGACAGACAAAGCTTGTTTTTGGCCATCTCAGCTCTTCAGTACTGCAGAGCATTCCCATTAATAAGTGAGATGCTGGGAGAGCTAAAGGAAATATCAGGCCATATATTGAGATAAACACCCTGAAAATACCAAATCCATTGGTTTTTCTTACAGTGACTACCAGGACAAGCTGCTGACTGACTCTGGACAGCCAGTGCTGCAAGCAGGGGGAGCAGCTTCCAGGCTGATCCCAATGCATCACTTGGGGCTTAAACCTTTCCAGCAGCTTAATATTTGAAGTGGTTCTGTGAGGAGATGGCACTGCAGGTTGGGAATCCAGGAGAGGTGCTGGCTTTGACCTTTTCTGAATTCATTTAAATTTCTGCAACAGGATTAGTGGCCCAGATGGACACTCATCCTAAATTTGACATTATGAGCGTTTGCACTTTCAATTTGGGGAGCAAAAATGAATGGTGCAAGGGGACCATCTACATCAGAAAACATATTTACACATCTGTCTAAACATTTCTCTGAGAAATCTCTGGAGCCAGCCTTTTTATTATATTTTAATGAGATTTTCTTTTAATAACCAAGAAATGACTTCCAGGAGCACATGTAGAGATATTTTTGCCTGTCTCATACAATACTGTCTTTTTGGCATTAATCTTGTTCCTATGGCTTTCCAGTGAGTAGTTACATTTGGATTAAGGTGACACAGCCTGCAAGTACCATCATTTTTAAAGCTGACAACCTTGATGAAATCAATTGCATTTCCTTTTTCTCCCTGTGCTTTGTCCCACCTTGGCTTATTAAGGCTCCAAAGGAAGAGCTGTTTTACCATTTACCACACCTAAATCTACTGCCAAAGTGGTGATTTGTCCATGAATGATCTGAGGGAATCAATAGCAACATGTGATAAGGAAGGTACTCCTGGATGTCTGAGCAATGCAGTGGGAACAGCTCTTCTGGAGAGCCAGGAGTGACAGCAGAGCTCCCAGAATGTCCCTGGGTGAGTCAGAACAGTGCTCAGAAGCACCCCAGGTGCATTCTTGCATCTATCTGCTTGTCTGTATCAGCAGGGAATTTGTGTGTCTGCTGGCCTGGGAAACAATGGGATAGCCAAGTGAGATTAGTGACCTAATGCTTCATTGATTTACTTGTGTTCCTTTAATGGATAATTATATTTATCTGGTTATTTATCTCTTCTGAGAAACCAAAATACCTTAGAGTTGCTAAGACACCCAGCCCTGCTGACCCAGACAGGCATGTGAGACTCCAGTTACCATTCCCAGAGACTGGAAAGATACTGGGAGGGGAAAGCTGACCTTTCCCTGGAGTTTTAAATCAAGCTGGCAGACAGCAGGATCCAACAGACAGTGCTTGGGTTGATTTCCTTGAACTGATAAGAACATTGCTGCAGTGGGGTGGGGTAATATCTACCTTACTGGAGCTGTTTCCATCCAGATTACTGGGAAAGAAGCGTGAGGTCACACCACATGAGAGAGTGTGGTAGCTGGGATTGGAAAAGCAGTGTACACTGCCGCTACCTTGAGATACATCTGGGGAGAAAACAAGTCATCACAAAGTACTTTGGAAGCCACAACAGTCCTTAAGAAACTGAAAACACGGCAGAGACAATCTAGTTTAGAAACCTGGGTTAGAGTTCTGGGTGTTGTAAAACATCTGTGGATACAATCTATCCTGAATTGTAATGTGAAGCTCTTGACTATCAGCATTACACATAAGAGAAAAAAGCAAAATAGTTAATTAACGCAGCATTATCTTTTTGAAGATGTTAAAAAAGCCATTCCTGGCAGTCCAGCTCTTTGCAGGTTGAGGGAGGGAATGCAAAACTTGGGAAATGCATGGGCTGCAATACAGCTGCTTCCTTAGTTTAAAACTTGTAAGAGCTACTGAGCAGAAGTAGTTATGAATAAAATTAAACCTTTTGTTACCAAACCAGCAGTAAAGTTGGAAATCAAGGTGCTACGACCATACCAAGAAGTCCCAAACATTTTACATTTTGTATAAAGGCTTATTAAAACAGAAATCTGGAGCCCTGAAAGGCAAACCTGGGCAGTTATATTGTTATCTTCAGAGACATTTTATCTATTTTCTTGCTTTAACTTATAAACACATTTACCAAGAAAGGCATCATATTTATACTGGCAGTTCTAATGAAAACATCAATCCCAATCTGGTTCCAGCTGCATAACAAATTGATAAATATTTCAAAGTACCATCAGAAGAACGGATGGAAAATTCAAACCGAAGCAGCAGCATTTAAGCAACAAAGCCCTGCAAGAAGCAAATAAACGGGTTTTAATAAACCCCAGGCTTAAACTGTAGGCAGAGAGGTTGGTTATAGGGAACACCTTCATGTGGAAAGGGTAATGAAGTGCTGGGGTGGCTGTTTGAACCCACCCTCACCTTTAGGGAAGGTTGGCAGCGGTGGGTGAGGGAGGGCACGGCCCGGCTGGCACTGAGGGGGTTCCCAGCCACCACCACCCCTCTCCCCTTGCCCTCTGCCTTTGCCTCGCTCGGAACATGCACTTTGCTTTGCTGACATCTTGTGGAGATCTAGATTTAGCTTAATTTACTGCAGCATATCCTGTTTCAAGGAAGGGGCTCTATCTGCAGGGTGTCTCTTACGTAAGTGCTGTGGCTGAGGGGAAGCTGCTCGTGCAGGTCTGACCAAGCACTTCTTTTCTGCTGAAACGTGCACGGGGATTTTCCAGGGCAGCCCTGTTTTGTAAGAGCAGAGCCTTTGAGTCCTAATTGTTTTCCGGGGTTGTTGCTAATGAAGTAGATCAGGATGTGATTCCAGAGCTGAAGTCTTCGAATTGAACCTCTTGCAGCCAGGGCTCTGCCACCTCCCCAGCTCTAACTCTATGACATTTGCAATCAAATCAACATAAAACACCTATCTCTTGGGGCCTGCCAGTGAGAACTGGGGCTGGAACCCCCCACAAACACAGACAGAGCTGCTCACACACAGCCCTGAGCCTGCTCAGGGGGGCTTGGCACGAGGCAGCTCCTCACCCTCCTCACAACCTGTGCTCCCAGCTAAAGATGGACACTTGGCTCTGTGTCTGTCTGCTCTGTGGGTGAGTGTTGATGGGTGAGTCACACCAGCTCTGTCTTCCCCTTCCCTTATCACTCAGCTGAGGGCAGGGACCACCTGACACCTTACAAGTTCACCCCCAGCTTATCTGGCCATAGCTTGTTTTCTGCACCCAAAATGAGCCGGAATAAAGCTCTCCTAGACTGCCCTACTACTCAGCACAGTGCTGAATTAATGACCCTGAGCTCATACACATCACCACAGCCCTTTTATCCCCACCCTGTACTCAGAATTCCTCATTCTACACAGTTCCATTTGGTCGATACTTAAGTACCCACCCAGGCTGATTTACCTTCATAGCACAGTCCATTTTCTACACATTTATTCCTGAAACTCTTGTAACTGCTGGCTGGAAATATTCAATCAAATTCAAATCTAATGCTGTCCCTGCTTAAAAAAAAAAAACACAAAACAGCAAAAAACCCCACAACCCACAAAAAAACCCCCGCTCTTCCCAAACGGGAGAATTCTGTTCTGCTCTGAACAGGAATGAAAGACTTAAATGCCCAAAAGAAAGGAAATTATTTAAATTAAAACAAAAATAGCGCCGAGGTACTGTTAATGTCACCATGGGGAGATCAGACCTGTGAAGGGACACATGATGGCAGAGTCCTGCTGTGAGCCCCTCAAGCCTGAGGCTGCTCCAGAGGAAGGCCCGAGAGGTCTGGATGAAGGTTTATCACCTGATGGACTGAGCCCAGGCTGTGGGGTGGCACAGGGAGCATCAGTCCCCACCCTGGAGCAGCTGCAGGACAGTGGTGTGAAAACTGGGCACAAAAAAAGAGACTAAGTGAGCACTGCAATCAGTACCAACCCAGACTTCTCAACTGTTAAATGGAGCCGCTTTCTGCTTTCTGTGTGGGTCCTCTCTGCCCACACAGTGTCACTGAGGCGGCTGAAGGCTCCAAGCAGGAGGGTTCACTCTGCCACCTCCCACCACACATCAACTGCAGATCATTTCTGGAAGTGTCTTGTCTGGGCTTCAGGATCCACGGTGCTTTATTTTTATCAGGCTTTGCTTAGCTCTTGGCTCTCACAGCACAGGATTCGCCCCTCCCAGAAAGTTTGTCAAGGCCCTGGTAAGACCTCAGACATCACTTCAGCCCATACCCAAGCTTGTGTGAAAGTTCTGATAGGAAATCTCTGCTGTTCTCCAGCACTGCCACACAGTTTCCTTTCTGTCCCCATCTCCTTGAACAAAACAACCTGCACTTCAAAATCTGTTTTCATGCTGGGGAGCACCATTTTGATTTCAGGCTTATTTGGGAAAGTCTGCTCTCAGATCCAAGTGTTGTGGATAAGCTCTCCCAGCATGGATGGTTTTCTTTTCCTCTGGCTGCTGGGCAGAGTGTGTGTTTTGCTGCCACATCCTTCATCCACAAATGCAAAAGAGTCCAAGGGCTGCCCAGGGGGTTTCCCTGCCTTATAATCTCTCTCACACATATGCAGGGATTATCAGCCTTGGGAGAGCTGAGGACACAAAAACCAAAAACATCCTCCAGAAACAAATTAATGTGCTGGAAGAAATTGCTGCCTCCAGGAGCTTGGGATCTGTGTGTGTGACTCTGTTCTGAAACAACACCACCATTACCCAAATGAGAGCAAACAGGCAAAATAATAACTGGTGATTCAGGAGAGCCACAATGTTACAACCCACAGAGAGCTGGAGAATGCAGCCATCCAGGTGGAATTCCTGCCAAAGTACATGAGTTTACATGGGATTATATTCATTGGACAAGTACATCTGCATATTATTCTGCCCTTAATCCACATACAAACCTCCAAGTGAGGGTTGGGATCCCTGTTTCCTCTGTGCAATAGTGCTTCTGTCCTTCAGATCCTCTGCAACACACACCTGCACACTTGTACTCAGATACACAAGTGTTGTCCTGCCATCCTGATATTCCTTATCTCTGATCTTGTCTCACTATCCACCTCCCCATTTCCTGCTGAGGAAGGTGCACATCAGCACCTTTTCCTGCCTCTGCTCTGTGGAGGTGAAGCAGCACTGGCAAGGCCCAAGCTGGGATGGTAATTACTGATGGGTACAAAGTCTCTCAGTGAGAGAATGTACTGGAGGACAGTCAGAATTTGGCAGGGAGTTTTCAGAAGCCTTTGTCTAGAATTTGTAAATGCCCTTCTAAAACAAAAGCCACAACTTGAAACAATGCTGATACCTGCAGGCAATTTATAATGGGATGAAGATGGAGCAGCGTGTTTCTAACTTCCTAACCTTCCTCTGCAAGCTCAGATGGCAGAGTTTTCCAAGGGGGAGAAGAAAGAAAATCATTCTTGTGACCTCCAGAAAGAGATGGTTGACCCCACTCCACTGCAGCTTCCTGAGTGATAAAATATCTATTGCTACAAGGACTGCACGAAGAAAGGAGAGAGCAAAGACCCAATCTCTGCATCTCCATCACTGACTGAGATGGACAGGGAAGAACAATTATCCAATTTCTTCCTAGAGAAGCCCAGGCAACACCACTGACCTGGAGCTGTTTGGGATTGTGAGGAACTAGTACTTGAGGGTCTTCACAAACTGGGCTGACACGGAGCAGCAGTGCTACAACGGCCAGAATTTACCTCGCTGTCACTGCCCCAGGACCACAAGAGATCCCAGGTTCAATGCAGCTGAAGGATGGGATCCCTCAGATGTTTATGATGTATCCAGGAATTCAACCATCCCTAAAATATTTTTTTCTCCTCGTGGAGTTAAGTATCACGTGGCATCAGGAGCTCTGGGATAGGTGGCTGCACCTGAGAGGAACGTGAAGAACGTTTTACACGGCAAATTAAAGCCCACGAGGCCATAACCTACAAACACAGTCCTGGGCTACCAACATCTTCAAACATCATGGCTTTCTCTCTATGGTTGAGGAGGAAAGTCATCTGTCTGTGTTAACTTTCCAGGATGAGTGAATCCCTTCCCAGCATTAGCATTTTTCCAGACTTCCTGCAGTGTCTGAGGCTGGGACACCATCAGGTCCACTGGGAAGTCTCATTTCATAGCAAAATATGGAGAAAAAAAAAAAAGAGAGATTTTTGTTCTGAAAGGAGCTGCTCAATAATTCCACTCAGGAACTCCCAACAATATTCCTCTCCTTACTTTGAAGTGTCTGAGCTGTGTCTCTCAAACATGCTGTGTTGCACACACATTAACTAGAGAAGCACAGAGATAAATGAGGTGGAGCAGGCTTTGTACACAGATGGATAAGGTGCCAATGTGATAGAAATGGATCACTGAAAAGTTCAGGACATTTTTCCATGCCAGGGTCTGTGATCTGCTCTCTCAGAACCCAGAGCCTCCGTGCTGTGGAGATGGGCCACAGTTGTCTTTTGCATGTTTGTGGTCTGGCTCCTCAAATAGTGTTGAAATGACAAATTTCAGGCCAAGCTGTGCTGGCAATTAGTCAAGGATTAGACAAACCCCCTCTGTCAACACTTTCATTCATTTCTCACCCAAAGGGGCAGCTTAAGCAAGAGCCAGCAAAGCTAAAATTCAAACATAAGGAGCAATAGGAGGAAATCCAAGGGTGACTTTTCTCCCCATCTTGTAGCTACCAGAAGAAGGAATACTCTACTGAGTGGTCTAAACGTGAGTTTGGTCAATGGTGTTCAACAGGCAGCCCCTGATGTGGAAGGTGCCATCACAGGAAAACGTGTCCCTGACACGAGGACTGGAGTCACAGTGCCACGAGAGAAGATCTGGGATTAACTTCCAGGTGTAGCCAGGCATTGCTATCATTGGCTTAATGGGAGAGGCTCCTTCCAGGTGCATCCTGGGCAGGGAATTCCAGAAGGAAGCTTCCAGCCATGTCACCCTTAGACAGCACAGAAGCCAATGGGCCTCGTGCACTCACAGGAGAGAGCAGAAAGAAAAAGGCACCACAGGCCTGGGGAAGCAGAGCTGCAGGGCCAACCTCTGCCTGTCTCAGGAGCTTGCACTCAATTGGACTTACAGATTCAGCCATTTAAAGGGAAGAGAAGTCAGAAGGCAGCAAACCCTGAGGAGATCCCCACCAGAGACAGACCAGAGCAAACCAAAAGGAAGTAAATCTGTCTCCTGCCTGGCATCCTCTCTGATATTGGCCAGAGAGGAATGAAGAAGAATGACAGTGTTAAAAAGGAGATCAGATCCTGCAAAGTTTAGCCAGTCTGCCAAGAAAAGCAGATTCTGCTACTGCTACTCCACAGCAGTAGCAGAAGACAGAAAGAAGTAGGAATGCTGTGATTCCAAAGAGCCTTCCCCTTCCTCCCTCCTGCTTTCATCAGCTCCTGGGAAGGGAATTCACACCAGCTCTTTAGATGACAGGGACAGGTCTGTGCTCAGCAGAAAGTGACAACACACAGGACACCTCAAATCACAAACTGCAACACTGACCCAGTCAATCCCCTTCCTCCAGCAAGAAAAGGCTTCTCAAGGTTTCACAAAGGGAAAACTCCTCTGCACTGCAAAAGGAATGCAGGTGATTTAAAGCCCATGCAGCACATTTCTTGCCTGGGTACATCCTCCATTGTGCTAAGTAAACTTCTACACATAAAGCACTTAAATCAGTTGATATTTGCTTTCCTGTCCCTGTTATGTGTTCACAGATCACGGTATTCAGGGGAAGAACAGAAGTGTCATTATTTTTGTGGCTCAGTAACACGTGTTACACATCACAGAAACTTGTATTTCCCCAACACACAGGAACATAAGTCTATATTTGATTAACATAAAAAGACCCTTACCAGAAAGTGAGTAATCTGTATTAGTCATCCTCATGGCTGGAGTGTAAGATACACTTGGCATGTCATGGCCCTTCTCCTTCTGTTTCCGTCGATACCACACAAACAGTGCCAGCAAGACCATAATAATTAGAAGGAGAATAATAATTCCAATGATTGCTCCCACTGAGTGCCTCTCTGATCCAAGAGCAGGGCTAATTTTAGTATAGGGGTTTAATTCTTCCATCATAAGAGCCGCTGTTAAAAGTAATTCATAACACACTGTAAATTGAATCGTGCATTTCATTTTCGAAATACTGTTGTTTTGTTTTTTTTTAAAGCAAGTACATCACTGGAGAGGGGGAGAGAGAGAAAGAGAGAGGGGTTTTACAGACAGAATCCCACTGTACCTTGATCACACCGGATTCCTTTGAAGCCTGGGCTGCAGTAGCAGGTCCCTGTGACATGGTCACATGTAGCATTATTCATGCACTCACAAAGTTGTTTGCAACCATAACCAAACGTTCCTGGTGAGCACTCTGGGAAGCCAAGGAAAAACATTGGAAAGAATTCCTGCTGTTTTCAGGAATGGGTGCAATGGAAAATTCAGTAGAAAAGTCTCCCTGGTTTCAGGGTCTCCACGATAACACTCTAATGCAAGATGATTATTATTATTTTAAAGCAGAAGATAAATGTATTTCATGCACAATTTATTACTTATTAAGCTGTAACTTTCTGTAAAAGTCTTACAAGACTTCCCAAGGACGAAATCAATAATAGGTACAAAGGATTTAAAAGTCTTGATATACATTATAAATGTTCAGAATTTGGCAGAGCATGAGCTCAGAAGCTTTAGACAACACCTTGAAAGAGCTTAGCATTCTCCACCACCCTACTGATTTTTTTTTTCATGGGGCAGTTGCAAAGAAAAGTTTTAATGAACATTTATATGAACCCAATAGAGTTTTACCAAACAAATCCCACATGCTTTCCTACTCATCCCTACTAGTGCCAGCAGGTGAACAGAACATTGTAGGTGGAATTGCAGAATTGAGCACCTGAATGGTTTGATTTGCTCTGCTTCTGTACCAGGACTCCTGATACAGAAGGAATTTTTGTCCTGTCTTTGTATTTCTATCAAAGACAAAATGATTGAATGTCCAGCTGAGAAATTTATTCATACAATTACCATGATGGGTTATTACAATAAATCTGTAGGCAGCTGACTTTACTTCTGGAGGAACTATTCAATAATAAATTGAAAGAAACAATGTCTGTCACATCCCACTTATTTCCATGGAGAAGAAGCATTACTGAAAGCATTCACACTTGTTATGATACTATAGAAAATATCTTGTTTAATGTGTGACTCTCTGTGTGTCCCTGCAAATGTTTTGCATAGCAGGAGACACCTCCCCAGTGTCAGTCTCTAAGTAGCTTCTAGTAGCCAAAATTTAATATTTAGTAAAGAACTCTAGCCAGTATCTGTGTAATGAATTGCAGTGTGTATTAAAGTTGTATCTCTTTCTTTAATCTGCTGGTCCTCAAATAAGGAAAAAAAAATTTACAATTAATGCTCATTCTGATAGTAACCTGTAGCCTACTTGTAATGAATAAAGCCTAAATTTTGGGACTGCACCACAGAAATGATGCCTGCAATTAGGCATTTCATCTGCAATGCAGTGTGACTGCCCATTCAGCAGGATCTGGAGAAGGAAGGAGCCTTAATGAAGAGATTCTTTTAGATTAAACAGTAGAAAAACAGATAAATAAATACATTTGTATTTTGGATAGAAAAGAAAGCCTCAGGCTTTGTACAGAGGTCGAATTAAAAAGTAGCTTCTTGTATAAAATCTGCTAATGTGCAGTTCTACTGTGGGACTTTTTAGTTTCCTGTTTTGATGATGGTTGCAGTAGGGCTGTACCCAAATTCACAGTAAGTTGGCCACTTCCAGAGTTACAGAGGTGCCATACATAATCCCCCATGAGCACACACATTTGGTCCCGAGATATTCACTTTGCTGAATGCAAGTGTGTGCAAAAAGATGTTTTTGAATTAAGTTACATGTACAAACACTTCCATAAAGATCCATGCAGTGAGCTCCAGTTAAAGCTTTCCCTTGCAAATCTAGCAGGAATGTTCCTGCATTACCTTACTGCCAAAAAAAAGGAAGGGAACCCTGTGGAATTAATGCCTGGGTAAGGTGAGATGGATTTTATGTTGCATTTAGAATATGAGTAAGTGTGTGAGAATTTTCTTGTGATTTACTATACTGGACAAACAAGCCATTATTCAGCTACAGCACATCCAGTCTGCACTACCCTCATTCTGTGTTCTTTAAAGAAGCCATTTGGCACAGACTGCTAAATATGCCAGCGGGACATGGACAACAATTCCAGTAAAACATGCCAGGTCCCTTGGAAGGTAATTGGAGTTCATTGTTAAACACTTGCTCACTGCTCTAACTAAACACAGATCCTTCCCAAAATGGCAAACAACTTTGCTTTCCCTGTAAAGATGAATCTTTACTTGCTCCACATCTATAGCATAACAACTTATGCAGGAAAGCCCCAGTATTCCTTGGAAGGCAGAGAGCAGAAAGGATTTATTTCTTTTAACCCTTCTGTCTTCCTTCATGCTTAAGGAAACCTGATGCTCTCAACAGCATTAGCAAGGCACGATGCAGCTTTTGGGCTATTTTTCTACTAATTAGGTACAAGTTTTTGGGGAAGGCTGCATCCAGTCAGCACTGAGTGCAGTGACTTGCTTTCCCTCACCTAACTTTAGCCTGGGAACGAAAAGGCCCAAGTGGCAGAGGAGTCACTGTATTTCTTTATGCTTAGACTGCCCAGTTTTCCACAGGCACCTTCTCCTCCCTATGGATTACATAAGGTGCCTGAGGCTGACATCAACACTTCATTTAAGAGCCTATTTGTGCAAAGAATTCCGAAACACTCCCCCCCTCCCTGGAGAAACAGAAACCCGAGGTCATGCTGGTACTTACTCTGCTCGCACTGTTTGCCTGTAAATCCAGTCCTGCACGTGCACTGCCCGGTGATGTGGTCACAGTCGGCTCCGTTCTGACACTGACACACGTTGGCACAGTTCTTTCCATAAAAAGCAGCTGGGCAACCTTTCAGGAATCAGAAGAAGGAAGGACTAAGAAATGAGCTGAAAGCCAAACTCAGATGCGTTATCAGCACAAAACATGTAGGCCTATAAATCTATGGATTTTCAGCCTGTGTGTATTTAATAACATTTATTTGATGGTCTAAATGCAGAAATACTATGACAGCCAATTTTCTTGAAGTAATGTTTCTCATCTCTTACACAATTGCCTCTGAAGTGTTCCAGAGGAATGAAAACTTGACCCATCTATACAAACCACATTTTCAAGAGGTGAAAGAAGATGCTAAACAGAAACTCTCTGAAAGACCAGAGATCAATCAATTACTTGCAAGTGAAAGTCCTCTTAAAAGGCTCAGCAGAATTGGATCTCCTCTTGTACAGTGCTGGTAATTTGGCACTAGGAAGAGAAATCCTAAATCAGGCCACATGTACTGGGGCCTTAACAAGCAGGGACATCGACTGTGGAAATCTTGACAATGAATCAATAATCTAAATTACTTGCCCTTCCTTTAAAGGCACAAAAAAGCACGGAAAGCTTCAGGAGTGTTTTCTTTGGGGTGATGTGAGGTTATCCTGAGTAAGAAGCAGGTGGATTTCGAGGGAAGGCTGCAATACTTGGGAGAGACACGAGGTAGCAGCACATACTTTGACAGATTCCCTGTCCCTGGAAGGCTTACGCTGAGTGCAGAAGAGCCCCGTCCAGCCGTGGGTACATCGACACTCTCCATCGTAGGGGCTGCACAGTGCTCCGTTGTGGCAGTTGCAGGAATGAAAGCAGTCAGGGCCCCAAAACCCACTGGGACAGGCTATGGAAACAAAAAACATTTGTCGGCTGACAAAAAAAAAAAAAATAGCAGTGATACTGTGCTGAGGAGGAGCAAGGACAAAGGGAGAACCTGTGAGACACCAGCGAGGGCAGAACCTCACACGGCAGAGCTGCAGCGACTCCCGGACAGAGACTGGCTCTTCCCAGACAGGGACTGGCTCTTCCCAGACAGAAACTGGCTCTTCCCAGACAGGGAATGGCTCTTCCCAGCCAGAAATTGCTCTGCAAACCCTGGAGCCAACCTGTGGCTTCTCCCCTGCTGTCAAGCCCTGGCACAGGGATTTCTCCCAGCAGGTCAAGGAGGGGATTCTGCCCCTCTGCTCTGCAAAGGTGAGACCCCACGGGCAGAGCTGCCTCCAGCCCTGGGATCCCCAACATCAGAAGGATGTGGAGCTGCTGGAGCAAGTCCAGAGAAGGCCACAGAGATGCTCCAAGGGTTGGAGTCCCTCTGCTCTGGGGACAAGCTAGGAGAGCTGGGGGGGTTCACCTGGAGAAGGAAAGACTCCAGGGAGATCTTAGAGCCCCTTCTAGTGCCTAAAGGGGCTCCAGGAGAGCTGGAGAGGGACTTGGGACAAGGACCTTTGGTGTCAGGACCAGGGGGAATGGCTTCCCACTGCCAGAGGGCAGGGTTAGATGGGATATTGGGAAGGAATTCTTCCCTGTGATGGTGGGGAGGCCCTGGCACAGGTTGCCCACAGAAGGTGTGGATGCCCCTGGATCCCTGGAAGTGTCCAAGGCCAGGTTGGAGCAACCTGGGACAGTGGAAGCTGTCCCTGCCTGGACTGGATGAGCTTTAAGGTCCCTTCCAAGCCAAACCTTCCTGGGATTCCATGATTCCCCAGGTGGGTCATATGGAGAGATCAGCTCTGCACTGAGAACCACAGAACCAGCGACCCTTGACACCACGTCCCCCTGTGTGCTCTGGGCACTCCCCCTGCCTTACTGGCATTATCTGTGAAGACAATTTAGACCTGGGGTTGTAAGATACGGAGGTAATTTAATTTTCTTCTTGACATTCTGGAATTCTTGCATAATAAAGCCCAGCTATTCAGGTTTACTTTGCTATGCAATCAACCACTAAAATTACCACATTCAGTTGAGGCACCGAGTGCTGCTCCAATTACGTAAAAAATGTAAAGAAAACTTCTTCCAATATGAACTCCCATCCACAAATTCAGATTGCTTTTGTTGATGGGACCAATATTAAATTAAAATCTCCAGGTCTATTTTATATTTCAACAAGTACAATATTAATATATATTTTAAAAAGTTATTTTAAGCTTCCCTCCAAAAAAAAATGAATGCAGTAAGTTACAGTTATTAGTGCCAGACTAAGAGATCCAAAATGATGATAGCCCTTCAATATAACAACTATATTTTTGCTTTAAAAAGCACTTTCCATGGCTTGCTATTAAAGACATGAATTAATAAGGCACAGTTCCCAGGAAACCTGAAAGTACAGAAACCATGCCTACTTCCATGGATGCCAGTGGCTCCTGCTCAGACGATAAATGCAAGTTTTTGGCACATGACAGACACCCCTAAAGCCAGAATGAGCAGCCAAAAAAACCTGCCATGACGTTAATCAAACAAAAGGTCACTGAACTCACACAATGTAAAGCTGACCAGGACTTGGCCTGAAGTATTTGTGCTATAAGCAACCAGAAATAGCATCACAGAATGTGCTGAGTTGGAAGGGAGCCATCGGGATCATCAAGTGCCGCTCCTGGCCCTGCACAGGACACCCCAAAATCCCACCAGCAGCCTCACAGACAGGCTGGGTGCTGTGACTGCTGCCCTGGGGAGCCTGCTCCAGTTTTCCTTTGTAAGGTAGAGCTGCAGGGTCTGTCAGAGAATCCAGAACTGGCTCTGGAGTCGGAGCTAAAACTCTCTCCTGTGCAGCTCCGACTGCGGGTCATTCCAGGTTAATGGTCTGATGGAAATAGCTCGGGAGGTGAGGCCAGGTGCCCACGGGAGCCTGGTGTGGGCCAGGATCACCTTGGGAGAGCTACACCCTCTTTACAAGGAGGTGACTGAGGAGACAGCCACGTTCCCCCTTGGCTCATACCAGCTACAACCAGGTCCTTCTGCCTTCTGGGCTGGCAAGGGTCGCTCTCCAAGAAAAACCATCTTTTGTCAAGGTTAACAGAAACTAACAGTCATTTCCCAATTACATGGCTAAATATAATGAGGAATCTGAGCAGCTTTCTTTTTTTCTCCCCCCCCCTCCATTTTTGAGTGACAGCAATATTCTGCCTGTGGAAGACACACAATAAAAGCAAAATTACAGCCGTCTGTTTTTATCCGATTCCTGCTTTATCACTTGAAGTTTAATATATTTTACTCTGGAATGCTGTCTAATATGCTAGTTGTATCCTGAATATGAAGTAACATTTCTGAATGATCGGATATTGCCTCCCTCTGTGATCCAGCTTCAATTAAGGGATGCTCTCAGGAAATGACACTTTGGGATCAGCAAATGCCAATCTTCTACCTGGGCAATTTTCAAGAAGAAATCCTCCATCCCTCCAAGCCCACATTGACTTTTACAATTAAATTACATTTAATAGGAATATTTCAGCCGCCTAATTTCTCAATTCTGGGGGGTTGGTACATGAAAACATTTACTGGTTAATAAATTCTAAATGTAACAGCTGAAAGAAAATGATTTCAAAAAAATAAATAAAAGGGAATGCAGCTAGAAATTAAAAGGGAGCATGGAGCTTTCTTTCCTGATAAGAGCTTGTGACCTCCCTTTCCTGGAATAAAAGCTAGTCACTGCTTCTGCAAACTCCAAATGCAGAAACTAATTCAATCCAGAGCTAACTTAGATTAATTAAGAGAAATAAGCCATAAAGAGAGTAAGGCAGTGGCTGTAAAACCTCAGGGATTTCCCCAGAACCTGTCTCTAACTTTCAGAAAACACTAAGCAAACACAAAAACATGTCATTTTGAAGCAGAGATGGGAGGACAACACTTTGCTTACTCTGAGAGCAGTCCATGCCTATCCAGCCTGGGAAGCACTGGCAGGATCCGTCGATGGGATTGCACGTCCCGTTCTCGGTGCACTGACACACCTCGGCACAGTCCTTCCCGTATTTCCCACTGGGACACACTGGAAACACAAGGCAGGTTACTGAGGGCTCTCCAGAATGGACGTGAAGAAGTCACAGTTTAACATTCAGCAATTAGAGACAAAATGAATCGCAACGTTTTTCTTCGATGAAGCCGAACGGGCAACGACCTTCTGGAAAGAAGGAAAAGGCAGAAAGTATTTGAGTTCTTTTTTTTTTTTTTTTTTCTCACATCCCAATCATAAAAACAATAGGAAAAAGTGATCTCAAAATCCATTTTTCTGCTGGGAAATGAAGCCAATATAGTTAGAAGATTCCAAAGATTGAAGGGCAGTATGGAAGGATGAGAAGAGGAGAGACAAAGAGAGAAAAGGGGTTATTGGCAGAGGAAGAGAACAGGGAAGTTGAGGAGAATTCAATGAGCAGCAGCCACCATGAGTGAGTGGCTGGAAGGGATTGATCTGGACACTTGGAAAGGGGAAGCAATTAAGTTGCAAATGTGGTTCCCAAGGATTATATGGATGTTTGACTGAGAGCTGTTAAATAAATGTGCTGCATCCAAAAAAATCAGCACCTATCCCCGTGTGCCCACCTGGCTTAGTCCTGAAGTTGGAAGGAAAGAAACTCTAAATTTATTTTTCTAGAGTCATCCTCTAAGAGCCCAAGCACAGTGACAGAAAACTAATAGACATGTAGATCTTCAACCTCCCACCAAATTATTGGAAATCTTTAACGTTAAAGTTGATGGAAAGCTCTGCTCAGTAACGAATGAAATGTTTCATTTCTGGGCTCTTATTGGCTGTGTTCCCTGACAAAAACAGATGTATTTTCAAAATAAGATAAAACATACAGTCCATCTTTGCAAAGAGTGTAACAAATGGAACTGGACTTGTATCCTGGTAAATAATAGCGATGTCAAAAAAGTGATTAAGGCACTTCCCTGAATTATGCAGCTGTTTTACCACTTCAGCCTCTCTCACTTTCTCAAAAGTAGTCTCTGCAGGTGACCTCAATCTATCCTGACTGTGAATCAGCCACAGATTGAAATCCTGAGCTGTGATTCATTGGGTTTTATATAATATGCCATCCTCTACTCTTACTACAGCAGAAAGCTAAGAATGTGCACAGTATTGTTTTCTGTATTTCTATATACCGTGGACTTATCTGTAGGAGTGGATAAAGTTGGGTTTGGCTTTCAAATTATGTGCTAAACAGAACAGTTCCTAACTGGAAAGAGATAAAACTAAACCCAATATACAGCCACAGTGAAAAGAACAATACACAGACACAAAGAGAGGAGGAAAGCAAAGCCCTCAAATCACAGGCAGAGCAAAAACTGAAATGATCTGTCAGCCCAGGCTCTTGCAGAGGCCACACCATCAGTCACTTCCAATGCTCCATATCCAGCAGCTCCATGCACTATTTATGGCATCTTTAAGATGGAGATAGATAACATCACCTCAATGATTTTTTTACAGATACAAAAAAAGTAGTTCTCTAAAGACTTCCTCAGAATAGGAGCTGATTTGTACTGCAACATGGAATGCTAATGGATCAGGACGAGATTTGTGATCCAAACAGAGCTGCTGGCAAAGGCACCAGGTCACACCTCACAAAAGCACTGCTCTGGTGCACACAGGGAGAGCTGTTCCTTCCCCAGGAGCACCTCCTGTCTCTGGGAAATGGGATGATGCCCTCTGGAATGTCAACACAGACTGACGACCAAATGGTTGTTCCCCTTAATTGAAACAACCTGGTTGTGGATTGACATGTCAGCTCTCTTGTGAGGATGTGAGATCCAAACACAAGCCCTTTTTAAATGTCTCAACCAGTTTTAAACAGAGCTGTAAGGCAAGGCCTGGTGCTGCCTTCCTCGGGAGCAATCTGATTGTACAACCCAGATAGTGATGTTAATTAGCCATAAAAGCTCTGAAGTGGGACTCCCAAAGTCCCTGTGGGATGTCAGGTGTGTTCCAGCAGCGATAACAGGTTATTATCAATCCATCTTGCTACATGATTGTGAAAGATATTCATAAAACAGCTGTTTAGTCATTTGTAGCTCGGAATCCTGTGCAATTCTGGGGGGTTACACAGCTCCTCACAAGCATGTGCTGCTAGTGGAAGAATGTTCCTGCTGCCAGAAAGGAGATGGCACAAGGAGATGAAAATTCCAAAGTGAAATCTTCATTTCACATTTTTTTTAATGGAAAACATTAATTAACATTTTTCTTTCTACAAAATAAAGTTACATGTTAACTCATTATGACAAACTGCAACACAAATTGATTTTAATTAGGACATGAATATTTTAAAATTAATTTACTGGATAGATCAACATTTCAAAGTAAAACCAGAAGTGCTGAACATCTGAGCAAAAATAAAATAGTTTTCTTAAGAGGATAATTAGACCTGCTTATGCTTTGAAATCTGGCTAACGTTTCACATAAAATGGACAAATTCACTGAAATATGTTCATTTTAATAAATTAATTGGTATAATGTTTAGTTGACTATACAGCACAGGAAATACAGCACATACTTACTCCATGTTTAATGATTTTGCATAAGTGCTGCCTGCAATTCCTGACTTACTGACAAGCAGGTCATTAAAGAGTGTCACTCGATTTTTTGCAGGGATGGTGACTTCACAAAGGGCAGTCACCTCTTTTAAATACCTGTGCAGGAAACACCCCCAGCAGGATGCAACCACTGAGACTGCAGAATACTGAATGCTTTTGTGGGTATTTTTAGGATAAAACTGAAAATCAAACACAGTAAAAAATGGAGTAACTTCCAAAGGAACAGAAAGGGGATGGGCATGTGGGGGAGCTGAAGCTGCTCTTCACCTGTGAAAATTAACTCACTTTCCCTGCCTCATTACAAACTTTTCTGTCTCCTGCACTCGTGTCCATGACTTCAGCTATTTCCAACCAGGTTCTACACATTGCAAATGAGGTGTAAACAGTAACTGGGTGTTTGGCCTTGTGCACCTGAGCTGGCCTTGCCCTTAACCAGAACGTACAGGTCCTGCTGCAAAAGATCCCATGAAGGTGCCATCAACATGCAGGGGAGGAGAGGCTGAGCAGAAAGAAAAATAACCCCATTGGCTGCTGATGTATTTACAGCAGGTGTCTCATTCCATAGTCAGTTCAATCCAGCACCGCAGACCTGGATTTATGAAACCAGGAGCACATCATATTTACAAAAGGGTGACTAAGTACCTATTTGCATTTCCCCTCTGAAGTAAAGAATTTCTTTGGATCTAAACTGCTGAAACAAGGGAAAAAGGCAGGAACTTTGTGATGGGCCTTGCTGCAAAGTCACAGACACTTGGGAAAGGAGGTGGAATTTGGGGGTTTGGGGCTCAGTACCTTGGTTGCAGAGAGGGCCAAAGAATCCAGGCAGGCAGTCGCAGTGTCCCGACACGTGGTGACAAGGACCATTGCTGTGCACACACTGGGGGCAGGGCTGGCCACAGTGGTGTCCATAAAAACCAGGGGGGCAAACTGGAAACAAAACAAAATCAGCTGTCACAGGTTTTCCGAAGTTTTCTCATTGCTGAGAGCTCGACAGTTCTCTGTCTTAATCCCAAACCATTATTTCTTTATTTATAAAAACACGGTTTTGTGGACAGCTGCAAGGATGAAGCCTGTGGGATTGTTCCATGTCTAATGAAGTGCAAGCTCTGAGCAAAACTGCTCCTGTGCTCAAACATTCCCACCTTCCAACCTCATGTAAGTCCCTGGCTATTCAATAACACGGTGGAGTTCTCAGCAGCCTCCCCCTCTCAGGGCATTCATTTGAATCTCTCTAACCTGCTCCAGATAAACTCTTCAACAAAACACGGGAGTTTAAGATGTTTGAGACCTCAGAGCCTACTGCAGATACGGATAATAACACATTCCAAAGCTTTTAAGACAGGAAGAGAAACACACACATGTAGAGACAACAGAAACTCAGAATATCATTTCCTTTGGAAACTGAGCTGAGAATTCAGAGAAGGTGTATTAGGAAACAATATTTTATGTCTAAACAACTCTGCCAAAAGCTGATTTCCAAACCTATGAGTGTGATACCTGTGCTCACCTGGGGCAGACAGTTTATATATGTCATGGCAGGAGCTGCAGCCATCAGTGATGAACAGAATCTAAAGATGGTAATTATGGTAACAGCATATAAAATCATCTGATTTGCATCAGTAATGACACAGGATAGCTGAGGAAACTTGTCATGAACTGTGTGCTTAATTTGCCTAAAACCTGAGATTATTACAGAATTTGTACACAGGGTAGAGAGCCAAGATTACGGCTCAGTATCTCTTCTAAACACAGATTGTTGCTTCTAAGCACATGTAGGGTGAAAAACCATCCGCTGTCCAAACATTCACTGCAACAGATAACACAAAGAAATGTTAAATTGCAGTAAGTGAGTGTAAAAATGACTTTATGTGTTTTTATTTTTACTCCTGTGACTCTCTGTTCTACAGTTCCGGCTCAGCGGTTGCTTTATCACGTCCGTTCTATTTTTCCACCAAATGAGAATTTTCTCTTGGTCTGTGTGTTCACAGAGGGTGTCAGGCTCTTACACCACTGCACATTTCCAGCTGGAACTTAGCTGACAGGTTTGTTGATATATATACCAGCTATAAAACACCCTGGATCATTGCTGGAGACATTTCTGCAGGCTTAAGAGCACTAAACCATCCCGGTGTCTCATGTAATCCTGATTACACCGACAGAACAAGTTGGCTGAGAATCATCTTCAGTATCATCTTCAGTGCTGCCTGCACAGGCTAAATTCTGTTTCTAAATGAATTTCCAAGAGAAAAATGTGGATGGTTTTGAGAGCAAGCTTAGCAACCTAAAGCCGCCCTCACCCATGGAGGTGTCCTCCTCACCAGGTAGGCTTGAGCCTGAATCCCACAGAAGAGATGGAAGCAAGCTGAATTCCCATGCCACGTGCTCACAGAGGCATTTCAGCAACACGAGGCAATAGCAGAAGCATTCACAGGAAGAAAATTTCTCCCCATTAGATCCCTAGGAAATGTCCTCGGGGAGCAGCCTGATTACTGGGCTTGCAAACTGGGAACAAGGTTTGCCTCTTGTAGCCTATGTGCCATCAGCTGATAAAACTAAGCTGGTTTTTTTCATCTCAGAAAGGTCAGAAACTATTAACTTCTGGAAGTTTTGCACTCTTAAGGTTTCAAATTCGTGAAACATTTCCTTCCCCAATTCCCTGAAGCTCTGAGCGCCACATTTTAGCCTTGGAGAGAGGTTTTACAGCTACACAGATATGCTGAAGCACCTGGAAATTGGGGTTTATAATGGAAATGCTTATAGGCCATTAACTACAGCAGTGCTAGAGGTCATCGTTATAATGGCTTTAAATAAAAACTGTCAGCTACAAATTATTTTTAGAGATGAGTGTGTTCTAGTGTCGAGTGTAACTGGTGAAATCAAAGGGCCTGTATGAACTGGGAATGCAGAATGTCTTACAGGAAGAAGAAGAAGAAGAAGAAGAGCTGCTGCAGAAAAGAAAGACAAATCCACTTCTTGTTTACACAGGAAGATGGTTGTGTGTAGTTTGGATCAGTGAATTAGGGTCCCTAAGGGGCAAATGCAGCTTCCCAGATAAAGCAAATGAGAGGGGTTTTATCTGCTCGGCACATTTTAATATGTAGCAGCAGAGCATCAGACAGGAGCTATTTCAGGCTGCTGTGTTTCTTTTTCTGGCATATAAGAAAACATAGACTTGTTATTTTGATGCCAAGGCTCATCCACTTGTCATTATGTGATGGGTCATAGCTGACTCTGTTTAAAAGGTCTCCTGTAGGTCTCCTGACTTCACTGCAGATCCGTGTCCTGCCAGGTTTGGTATGGAAAGGTGTTGCTCCTTCCAGGTCACCTGTGACTTCCAGGTGCAGTAGACCAGAAGAAACACAAGGCACGACTCCGTGCAGTGGAGTCCTGACTTCCCGATCCAGCAGCACTTTTTAGGCTGTGCTTTGCCCTTAGGGAGCTAAAGCAGCTCAGAAACTGTGGGTTTGTCTGACTGGTGTCACAAAGGAGCATTTCCACCTGCTTTGCTCCTGCCAGGAATGGAAAAATCTTACTTCTCTGGCACAAGGGTCCCCTGTATCCCGGGGCGCAGTCGCAGGTGCCATCCTCTGGGGAGCAGGATCCCCCGTTCTCACAGCTGCACGAGATGGAGCAGTTGGGGCCCCAGCGGCCCTGGGTGCAGATGTTGTCACAGTGGATGCCTAAAGACATAAAGACACACATTAGGTTCCCCACAGCTTACTCTGCTCACTGATCAAAGAAACTTTTGGCTGGACTGATGCCTTGCAGCCCCTCACAGAGCCAACGAGGGAGCCCGGGAAGGAAACAGCTCTTCTTTTATCTGCTTAATAAAGTGAAAATTAAGAAAACGCCAGAGAGGTGAGTTCTGCAGGTGTTAGTGGGCTCCTGTTCAGTCCTCAGCACCATTAAAGAAACTCTGCATGTCATCTGAGAGATGAAGGTCAGGAATTGCTTTAAAGTCACAAAATAGCTCAAATAACTGGTCTGGAAATAGGCAGTTGATTGAAGCCTGATTACTTACCTGTTGTGAATTGGAAGACCTAAAAAAGAAAAATCAGGGCTCTGAAAAACATGTTGAAGTGTTTGGATTCTTGAACACAAGTAAATTCAGCTCTGTGCTGTGCTCTGTTCCCTTCCTTGCTTAAGGCAGTGTGCTCTGGGGTTTTGTGCACAGACCCCACATCCACCCAGAGCTCTCCAGCTCTGTGATAATGAACTAAGTTCTGATCTAGCAAGTGGCCATATGTGAGCACAGGCTGATCATCTGCATGTTAAATGGAGACTGAGACCTGCCAATCCAGCTCCAGTCGTTCCCAGGGTGGTTGTTTGATATTTATTATCACGAAAAGCAAAGCTTGGAAACACCAAAAAAAAAGCACAGGGCCAACAAACTTAACATGAGGCTTCTAGCGTGGTTTCAACTGGTTTTGTTTTAACTGGTGGCTTTTAAAAAACAACCTCGTGCCACGGTTTGTCATATATAAACGTGATCTAAGGATCTGGTGTCGGAGAGGTTCGTGCTCCGCTGGGAGAAGGCAGTACCAGCACCTGCAATTAGAAGAGCTATTTGCATGATCAAGGGCTCCTTGGATGGAAAACCATTTGCAGGATCATGAACTAAGAGGGTCATTAAGCAGTGCCAGCTGCAGGGAGTGGCACTGGCAGGGGAGACTGATAACACCAGGAAAAATGAATCACAGACCCGGCTTGGAAAATTTTCCTGCCGACGCCACCACACCGGGCTCCTCCCGGCTGACCTGGCGGGGCCCACACGCCTCAGCTGGGCTTTCAACAGCAAGATGTTCTTTATCATCCATGCACATGGCCCTGCTGCATAATGGGATAAAAGCGTCCCCGGCTCCAGGAGCCCCCGCCGCGGCCAGGGGTTGGATTAGTGCATCTCCACCGAGAAACACAATCCCAAGTAATTTCCTGCACCTCTGATAACTTCATCTGGATGCCACAGGTAATGCACTGCAGTTGGGAGGCTGTGATCTGTACAGCCACCCAACTTGGAGGATTATTAAATCAGCTAAAAGTCATTATAAATACACTTACGGTGCAGCTTCAAGTTGGTTTTATAAATCTCTGAAGTTAATACAGTAAGAAATACTGCAGAGCCAAAATTTCCCTTTTCTGAAGATTAATCACACAATTATAATGTCCCTTCCTAGAAAATCTTAACCAAGTCTGGCAAAAGTACAGTTTGAAATGTGGTTTCTAGTAATACATGATCATAGCTTTATTTATAAAGAGGCAGGGTCCATGCTGTAGAGCTTAATAAAAACCACATTAAAATACAGTAAAAACTTAATACAAGCTCAATTCCTTCCTATCTAAGTAAATAAATCTGAAAAAGGGGAGTGCAAAAAGAGACAAGGAACATTTGTATTAGTAAAATCAAGAAAAACAATTATTTTAAACAGTCTTCCCTGCTCAGTTTGAAATCAAATATATCCTTGGATTACTTAAACAACAAATGCTTTGTGTGTGCATTTATGTAATATATCTACAGTCCTCTGTAATTAAAAAGTCAGACAATAAATTGTAAATAAATAAATGCATTTTGTATTTATAAATACACATATATGATCATTTGTAGCTTTGAGCGTCTCAGCGTGAGCTCCCAGCAATGAAATTCAGGCACAAATGTAGAAAAATCTGTATTTTTCCTCCCGACTGCAGCACTAAAATTACAATTCTGTCACTGTGAATGGGCTATTTATAAACTGGGACAATTAAACAGCATTATTTCTTGTCTCTTTTTGACAAAGTTTGGGGAAGAATGACACTGGCTCCTTTCTCATGGAAGGAACTCGAATTAAAATGCCAGGGCTGTTCCGTGCAGCAGCAAAGTCCTTCCTTTAGTAATGAGTAATGAGGGATGTCTTCCCACTCCTAACGAAGGGAATGAGTCATTGTGGAGCTGATTGTTGTAAGGAAATGTAAAGGGAGAAAAGGAAACCTTCTAGAAGCCACTGACACCCATTACAGCACTTATTTATTTATACATCTCCAGAAGACAACCAAGATGGGGCTGCAATCAGTTTTTATCACTTTATATTGCTCCAAGGTAATTCTCATGGAAGATTTTCTTTTTGGAGGCTCCCCCACAAACTGAATTGCAAATGTAAATGAGAAGTTAAAACTGCACCTGGACATGCATGTCTTATGGAACTGTGCTAGAAGAAGCACCTTAATTTCACAATTCCCTACCCTGGTGGTGCATGAAGGGGAAGTCCATCCCCCCCAGCTACTTTACAGTCAGAGTCAGTGGAGCAGGAACCTTCTGTAATGTAAAAACTTCAATATTTACTTTGGGCCTTGCTGATGAACATTTCTGATAAGCAATTAGTTTTCAATTTCCAGAACTACAAAAACTGCTGAAGTTGACACACCTCTGTATTATCTCACCTTACAACCACAGGTTCCTAATTTATGAACAAAATCCTGGTTTCACAAGCAATGATACAGAAATTAGAAAGACAACTATCAGAAGAAGTCCTTGAAGCTGCAGGAAGCAGTTCTATACATAAACTCCATTGCCTGGATACCAGGGAATTATCTTCCAGCCTGAGGCTGTGGTTCACAATTGCAGACACTGGTATAAAATTACACTTCCAAGACCTTCTTAAACAATGTTCTGGGGGTGAACTGTAACTGAAATTCACATAACTTATATAAAATTGTAGTTATCCACTGGATGTGGGCAAAGGCTTTGCACTCTTGCAGTAAGGCAGAGCCCAGGGAAGAGCAGAGTCCACTGTGGCTTTAACTCAGTCTGTGACACAGCAGCCACAAACCCTCCCTGTCCTGGTGTGGATTTGGGGTATTGGATTTCTGCAAACACTGGCTGCTCTCCAGTGGGATTCCCACTGCTGTCCTCTGGCCTGCCCTGTACATGGCATTTAGCTGACAGTCCCAGCAGTGGCTTCTCTCCCCCTTCCCCACACCAACCTGCTCTGCACACACAGCAGGAAGGAAAACCAGCCCTAAGGGCCTGAAGTGCTGTGGAAAACACAACCTGGGCTGAGCTGAACCCACCAGAGCAGTCACAACTGCCCTGTTCTCAGGGACAGCTACATGGGACAGCTCTTCCAAGGCCTTTCTCCTTACAGGAGACACTTTACTACCAGGACAGTTTACCACCAAGTGGCCAAGCAGCTGCTGTCTGGGACACAGGGAGTGTCTGGGGTAATTCCATCCCAGATTTCCCACAGGGGAAGCCAGTGGGAATCTCCCAATGTGGAACTGTAACTGGCATCTTGATAAAGGACAGCAGCAGGGAGAGAGGTAGGGGAGGAAAAGAATTCCAAGATGGTTTGGGTTGGATGGGACCTTAAAGCTCATCTTGTCCCATCCCTCTGCCATGGGCAGGGACAGCTTCCACCAGCCCAGGTTGCTCCAAGCCCCGTCCAACTTGGCCTTGGACACTTGCAGGGATGGGGCAGCCACAGCTTCTCTGGGCAACCTGTGCCAGGGCCTCACCACCCTGGGTGATATTCCTTCCCAATATCCCACCTAACCCTACCCTCTGGTAGTGGGAAGCCATTCCCTGTGTCCTGTCCCTCCATCCCTTGTCCCAGGTCCCTCTCCAGCTCTCCTGGAGCCCCTTTAGGCACTGGAAGGGGCTCTAAGGTCTCCCAGCCTGGCTCCAGAGCAGAGGGGCTCCAGCCCTTGGATCAACTCAGTGTCTGGCAACAGCACTGGCTGATGGAAACCCATCAGTGACAAATGTTTTATCCCAATAACATAAATCATGTATTACAGCCCAGCTCTGGTGCAGAGTGGCCAGAGAGGGGGGTGTCTGGTGCCTCAATGTCACTGGGTTTCATGGAGCAGCAGCAATTTTTACCAGAAGTAGTAGGTTCTTTGTATTAAAATTTACTGATCAGGCTGGGATGGATTAAGCTAAACATCCATACAACCATCAGGAAAAGGAGCAAGAAAAAGGAAAAAAACTCAAACCTCCAGGCCATACAAGTGGGATGTGAGGCACCTATTGAAGATCTCCTTCATAGGCTGCTTCCATTAATAATCTTCAGTGCCTTCAAGAAAGTTTGTCAAACTAATGCAGATTTAGTGCTGCCTGTAACTACATCACACTGAAGGACTTTGGAGGGTGAAATTCCTGAAAGGCAGATATAAGTAAAACTCCCTTTTCCCCCTCTCCAGCTTACTTCTGCAATTGCACTCGTGCCTGGGGATTACGTCTCTGGCTCTTAATAAAGCCTGCCATTGTTTCTGTGCTGTGTCTCTGGATAGTTGGAAACTAATACTCCAAACACAATAGAAGAGCAAAAATGGACAGAATAAATGAGAACCAGTGGCCTATTTTTGACCACTGCTATCCCCCTGACAGTAGCCTCTGCAGTAGTGCTTGTGTGCTGCCCAGCATCTAATTATTTTTCAGGGACGAAGGAATTTGATGAATTATAGGATGTAACTCCCTTCCCCCCATGTACTTTAATTTTACATCTACCAGTGTATAACTGTAATTATTTCTCTGAATAAGATCTTCAGCATTTTTTTTTCTTTCCCCTCAATAGTCCCAATGTAAAGACAGATGCAACATCAATTAGGAATGACAGGAACGATTTCAGCAGACGTTTGAATCCAACACAAACATTGTGCTCTCCTCCACCTGTCTTTCAACATGACATGAAGTCATAATAATCTC